CGTCAGTCGCGTGCGCATGCACCGAGGACGAAGGGGAGGAGGTTGACGCACCTTGTCGCCGAGGGCAGCCCTCGTGGTGGTGGCCGTACGCCTCGTGCCGGCGGCGGCGGTGCTGGTGGACGCGACGGCGGCCTTTTGCGCTGGAGGCTTGCCGACGGCGAGCGAGGTGCTGGCGGCGTTGGACCGACCGACGCGGTTGCTGAGGTCGTTCTCGACGCCCTGCTCGTTGGCGAGCGAGCGACGGGTCGAGCGGCGAGTCTGCGACGAGTGCATGCAGGCGAGACGGCGGACAGGCGAGGTCGGCGCGGCAGAGGAAGGGCGGGCGAGACAGACGCGGGGGAGGAGGGGGGAGGACGTGACGAGAGTTGAGCGAAGCGTCAGTTTTTTCCGCGTGCGGGCTCGTGGGAGGGGCGAACAAGGACGAGGGACGCACAGCCATGGCCTGGGAGACTGGTGCGAGGCTGCACGGGCGGGCGCGGGTGCCGAGAGAGGCGGCGAGGGGCGTGTGTTGTGCGAGGTGGAGGAGGAGGTGAGCGCGGACGGGTGGGCTCGTGGGCGTGTCGTGGGGTGGGTCGAGTCGGTAGGTGAGAGGTGTGAGAGTGGACTCGACGGAGCTGCACGGGCTCTGCGGTGGGGAGAGAGGGAGGGGAGGCGGTGGGAGGAGGAGGCGAGGTGCCCACACCGAGTCGGCCCTCGCTCGTCTCGCGCGCGCCTCCCCTCCAAGTCGAGCCAAACACGCCCTTCTCGCGTCTCTCTCGCTTTCGCGTCGCCCGCTGATGGCTCGCTGGAATGCGCATTTCCCTCGCATGGTGTCTGCGCAGGTCCACGCGCCTACTGGCGCGTCGCAGATGCTTGTGGCGATCGCAACGCTCCCCTCCTCGAGATGTCAACTTGCCTGCTTGCTCTCGCCTCTACTGCCGCACACAGCCCCTCGAGCGTGCTCTACTCGCTTTCCATCTGCTCAGACGAGTCCAAAGACGCGCCTCCGCTGTCCGCTCAGGCCCGCAGAGCGACGCGTCGTGCGTGCATGCTCGCCGTTTGTTTGCCGCCCTCCTCCCCGCGGCCATACACTCGCTCACGGCGCGCTAGCGGACTCTCGAGGGAAGCACGAGCACGGTACGATGACACTGAGAGATGCATTGCGCGCTGTGCTGCCGGCAGCGGAAGGTGGGCAACCTGGCGGACCATGCGCGCGAGGAGGAGGGAGGCGCAAGAGGGAATGCAATGAAGGGAATAGACAGATGATGGGCCGCGAGGTGACGACAGGGGACTGATACAGACCTGGGAGAATGAGAGGGCGCCCACCGCTCAGGCGCCCACGATGCCGAACGCGTGCTCCTCGTACCTCCTCCTCGCCTCGGCCTGCTCCCTCATCCTCGCGTGCTCGTCCGCCTCGCCGCCACCGCTCCCACCACCGACGACGAGCCCGCCGAGCAAGCCGTACTCGTCCTCGCCCTCGCCGCCGTAGTAGCCCGGCTCGAGCCCCATGGTCGCGTCGGGGCCGCCGACGCCGAGTCCGAGCCCGAGGCGCTCGAGCGGCTCGTCGACGTACGAGACCCACTCGTCGGCGCCATAGTCGGCGCCGCTCGTCGCCGCGTACGCGTCCATGCTCGGCGCCGGTGGTGGCACAAGGAACCCGTCCTGCGCCCCCGCCGACGGCGGCGGCGGCTGCGGCGTGCTCGCCGAGCTGCCCGCTCCTCCTCCTCCTGCGCCGCCGCCGAGGAAGGGGCTCCCCGACCCTGCTCCAGGCGTCGGCGCAAAGTGCGGCGAAGGGTACGCGCCCGGCGTCGGGTACGCGCCTGCGCCTGGGCCCGCGCCGCTCGGACCGCCTGCGCCCGACGACGACGAGTGCGCGCTCGGCGGGCCGTAGGCGTCGTACTCGCCCGTCGACGGGACGCGCTGCATGAGCATGTGCGGGTGCGGGTGCGGGTGCGCGTGGTGGTGGTGGCCGGCGTGGACCTGGACCTGGACCTGGACCTGCGTCGGCGGCGCGTGGTGGTGCAGGTGCTGGCGGGGCTGTTGCTGCTGCTGCTGCATGTGCTGGTGCTCCTGCTGCTGCGCAAAGTGGCGCTCGTGCTCGTGCGACTGGACGAGGTGCGGCGGCGGCGGGAGCTGGGGCAGGTGCGGCGACGTCGTAAAGTGGCCCTGCTGGTGCATGGCCGGCGACAGCTGGTGCGGGTGCCCGTGCCCTTGCGGCGGCATCGACATGGGCATCTGCGCGTGCCCGTGCGGGTGCATGCCGGGCTGCGGGCCCATCGAGTGCGCCGACAGCTGCCGCACAAGTTGCGGCGGCGCAGGAGGGAGCGCCGGCGAGCTCGCGTTCGAGTACGGCCCGTAGACGAGCCCTTGCACGACGTGGTGAGGCGGCGGAGGATGCTGCTGCTGTTGATGCGAGGAAGGACGTTGATGGGGATGAGGCGCCGGTGGCTGCGAGTGCGAGTGCTGGAGGGGCGGTCGAGAGACGGCGACGAGGTGCTGCTGCTGCTGCTGCTCTTGTGCGGCCGCGTGCGCCTGCATCTGCGCGAGCTGATGCTGGTGGTGCTGGTGCAGCTGGAAGTGCGGCGGGAGCTGCTGGTGCGGCTGGATGTGGTGCGGCTGCTCGCGGACGGGCGCAAAGGGCGGCTGCTGCCGCGGCGTCGGGCGGTGCTTGTCGGCCGGCGACGAGCTGTGCATCATCTGGTCGAAGTGCTGCTGGCTCAGCCGACTGCGGCTCTTGAGCATGGCCGGGCTCGCGACGGCGTCGTCGAACACGCGCGGCGCCTTCTTGGCCGACGACGACGACGACCCGCCGCCGACGGCGCTCGTGCTGAAGCTGCGCCCCATCGCGGTCGCCTCGGACGCATGCGGCGAGCCCGACTCGCCGGCCCGGGCGGGCGTGACGGCGGGCCTCGCGGCGACCCTCGCGGCGTGCGGCGTCGCGTGCGCGTCCGGGCCGAGAAGGTCGGCCTCGTCGAGCGCGCCCTGGACCGTCTCGCGCCTCGCCGACCCGCTCGCGACTCGTGGCCGGCCTGCGCTCGTCGTTGGCCCGACGAGCGACTGGCTGCGCGACATGCCCGACCCGCCGGCGGCGGGCGAACGCAGGCCGGGAGCGCCGCCGTCGTGCGCGTCCGAGACCGAGTTGGAGCGCGCGAGCGGGTACGGCTTCAGGCGGTTCGAGCCTCGAGGCGTGAGCTGCGTCCAGGTCGACAGGTGCGAGCTCGGCGAGCCCTGCGACGCCGAGAGCTCGGTCTGCTGGCCGATGGACCGGCGGGCGCGGTGCCGCGTGTTGTGCTGCTTCGGCTCGTCGTTGCCCGGCGAGGGCGGGTCGTCGAGCAGGTGCGAGGCGACCTCGAGGGCGACCGTGAGCTCCTTGTACTTGCCGTCTGCGCGAGAGAGGAGGAGGGAGCAAGGGTCAGGTCAACTCGGTGAGGTACGGTCGGCGAGAGAGAGAGAGAGAGAGAGACGGACCGGGGCTCGCGTCGATGGCCGCCTTCTCCTCCTTGGCGATGCGGTACAGCTCGTGCAGGATCGACATCTTGTCCTGCGGGATGTGGGCGCTCATGGCGGCCGTCGCGAGCTCGAGCTCGTCAATGGCGACTGGGCTGCGCCGCAACAGGTGGACGAGGAGCGCGATGCGCTCTGCAGAGGAATGGGACGTCAGGGCTTTGACCTCTCGAGGAGACAAACAGTGAGACGAGGGCGCACCAGGCTTGGTGAGGTGATCCGGCTCCTTGTGCCGCAGGTCGCGAGGCCACCAACCGGGCTTGTGCGCGTCGCCCTTCTGGTACTGGTAGCGCGACGACTTGTTGGGCTCGACCGTCTTGATCCACGACTTGCACACGAGCTTGTCGACCTTGTGCCACAGCTCGTTGAACCGCTCGACGTACCACGCGTCGAGCTCGTCGGGCATGAACGTGCGGCGGACGAACCGAGGAGGCAGCGTCGACGACGACGACGAGGCGGCGGGTGCGGCGGCGACAGGAGCGGCCGACGAGGGGAAAGGGAGCGACGGGAGGATGGGCGACGGGTTGGGCGAGGCGGACGGGTGGAGCGCCGGCAGGCTGCTGCTGGGCCCGAGCGAGCGGCTGAGGTGGGCGGTGGACGCGGACGGCGCCGGGGCGGACCGCGCCGGCGTCAACAGGTCGCGGCGGATGTCGCCCGTGGCCGTCGACGGGCGTTTGGGCGTCGGGTGCGCCTCGGCGAGCGCGGCGGGAGGAACAGGAAGGAGGAACGCGTCGGCGTCGTCGACGACGGCGCGGCTCGATGATGCCGCCGCCAGCGCCTGGTCGTCGCCGCTGCAATCCATGTCGTCGGCGGCATCGGCGGGGTCGAACAGCTCGCCGCCGGCCGCAAAGACCTGGTCGCCCTTGAGGACCTCGAGACCCTCGCGCTCGCGACGCTGCCGCGCCTCGCGCATGGCCCGGGTGCGCTCCTCGGCGTCGCGCTGCGCGTTCTCGCCGAGCCAGACGGTGAGGCCGCCCTGGAGCGCCTCGCTCGCGTACACCTCGGCGCGGCCCTCGGGCCCGACCCACAGGATGGCGAACTGGGCGTCCCAGATGTGCGCCGTCTGGCCGAGGAGGCGCAGGATCTTGCCGCGCGACTCGCGAAAGCGGTGCGACACGCGCTTGACCGAGTCGTGGCCGGTCGATGACGCCGAGCGCTTCTTGCGGCTCGTTGAGCGGACGGGGGAGGCCGGCATGACGCGGAAGGGGGGGCGAGCTGGGGGAGGGGCGCGCTCGGGCGCGGGCGGACGTGTCGGTGTGCGCTCTTGTGGCGTTGCTGAGCGCGCGTGCGGGCCCGCTGGTCGCCTGTGTCGAGGACGAGCGGCGAGCGAGGCGGTCGCGCCTGGACGCGCGGGGAGGGCAGGCTCGGGGATCAGGAGCGGGTCGGCGGGTGGTGGTGGGCGGTCGCCGGCGTGTCTGGATGGACAGGCGAGCGTGTGTAGGTCCCAGCAGGCACGGACAGGGTCGAGGCGAGGAGCGAGCTTCGAGATGCCGGCCAGCTCCTCCGCGAGCAAGGGGACGACGCTCTCAGCTTCCGCTAAGGACTGCAGAGGCTTGCAAGCACGCGCAATGCTCTAGCTAAAGCTTCAAACGCAGTCTGGTCCGACGCGATTGCCCTTCCACTTGAGAATCGCTCGGGCAACTCGCACAGCTTCTGGCTCCGGGTCGTCGCGCAGTAGAGACGGGCTTGCGCTGCATTCAAGCTCCTTATATCCAGACGTACAGTCACGCTGTTGCAAGGAAACGAACAAGGCGCAGACAGGGTTGACCGCGGCCGCCGCCGAGCCCCCTCACACGTTCGCCAGCGGTGGGCCGTGCCCGACGCGCGCAGGCGACTCTCTCCCTTCTGCCTGAGGAAGTGAAAGCTCATCGCAGCCTCGATCTAGTCGAGGCTCAGAGAGCGCGAGCCGGCGGGAGACGTCGGCCGCGGCAAGAAGCGGGCGGTCGTCGAGACGAACGAGTCGCCGTGCGCGCCCTCGACCAGCTCGGCAAGCTCCTCGCGCTCGACGGCCAGGCGACCGCTTCGCGAAGAAGCTTGGAGAACCGTCACGAGCCTGCCGGTCGAGCGCAGCGAGTGCAAGTCGGTCAAGCTGCTCGACCAGCTCGAGGTGGCTGAGGCGAGCGGGCACACAGGGCCTTGCGTCGGCCGCGAGGTGGGCGACGGCCAATGTCCGCATCGAGCACAGCCTTTGAGCGCCAGCAAATAGCGCTGCCTGTCTCGAGCGGCCTGCGGAGCAGGTAGAACCCGCCGGCGCGAGCTCGTCGCGCACGACGAACAGCAAGGACTGCGTGCGGTGGCGGGCACGTAGCCATAGGCGGGAGGAAATACTGTCTGGCGAGCCCTCGGATGCCGCCCTGCTCCACCGAGCGAGCGGAGAGAGCGGGAGAGCCGCGAACTGATGAGAAAGTCGGGGGAGGAGGACAGGGGGGTCGCGCAGGCGTGGCGACCGGTTGCGCGGTACCACAGAGGCAGCAGTGGGCCCGGGGTGGCTCAGAGTGCGCAGCTCGAGCGGCTTGAGCGATGTGGACGAGAGGGAGAGCTGGTGCTCGTCCTCCGCCAACCTCGACCCTCAACGGCTTCTACCGCTTCGCGCGCAAACACCTGCACGATGGCTTGCACCTGCCGATCTACGCTCAACGCACTCCGCCAGCCGACCCGCCGCATCGCCCAGACCCCCTTCGCCCTCCTCTCTGCTCGCCCTCTCTCTTCCTCCGCGACCGTCCTCAACGCCAAGCCCGCCTCCTGTGCGTGCTCGACTCTCTCTGTATCTCCTCACAGAGAGCTGATCAAGAGCCGTCATGTATTGCAGCCTCGCCCGGAGCAGCCGCCGCCGCCGCGTCGTCCTGCCCGCCGGGCACCGTCCTCAAGGGCCTCAACTACCTCAAGGACGGCCAGGACCCGGTCGCGCTCGAGGACAGCGAGTACCCAGCGTGGGTCTTTGCATTGCCGACGAGCAAGGCGACGGCGGTCAAGGGCGACAAGGGCGACCCGGCGGCCGAGCTGCGGAAACAGCGCGTCGACCTCAAGAAGAAGACCAAGGCGGGCATCAAGGCGTCGAACGACCTCAAGGGCTGAGCGTGGAATGCAGCGTGTCGTCTCGGGCCGATGAGCGAGAGGCAGCCGTCGGCGAGCGTCGTCGACGAGAGGCTGGCTGCAGCTCGTCTTCCGCTTCTGCTCCCGCTTCTCCGCGCTTTCTCGTCGCCGCGCTGAGCAATCTTGCTCGGCCCGACGGCTAAATGTCCGGCTGGCCCCACACGGACGTTTGCGCTCGTCTCGCACGCCGAGATCCGGCGGACGTTTGCCCGAGGGAGGGCGAACCGGCCGCCTCCTAGCGCGGACCGAGCGCCGTCGCCTTTCTCCCTTCCCTCTCGACGCTTCTCGCTCGTCTGCTGGGCCCTCTCGACGTGCTCGACTCGCTACGATGGCGACTGCCGGCGAGACTGTGCAGATGACCTTCGACGACACGCTCGGGCCGTTCGTGCGTCCCCTCTCTCTCCCTTTCTCTCCCACCGCCGTGCGGGTGGAGGCAGTAAAGACCGCTCACCCTCTTGTCGTCGTGCAGCTCATCGGAACGATGCTGGCGTGCTTCCTGGTGCGTCCCTCTCTCACTCACTCGAGGCGGTCGTCAGAGGGTCGAGCTGACTTTCGCTCCGTGCAGCAAGGGGCGACGCTCTACCAAGGTCAGCCTGCGAGCGAGCGTCGAGCACGAGGAATCTGCGTCTGACATGAGCGTGCGTGTACGCAGAGATCATGTTCTTCGCCAACTGCCACAAGACGCGCGAGCCGTGGGGCTGTGCGTCCTCTCCCTTCCTGCTGCCCTCGCCGCCGCATCCTGACCTCCTTCTGCCGCATCCAGACATCATACTTGTGCGCACCACCTCAAGCAGAGCTCCAGAGCGCGCACTGACTCTCGAACACACAGGTCGTCGGCGTCACCGTCACGGACGCGCTGCACACGGCCTTCGCGATCAATGTGCGCTCTCGCTGTTCCTCTCTCGCCTTTCTCGCCCCAGATACTGACTCACTACATGCCTGCAGACGATCTGGGTCTGGTCGGTCGAGAACTTTGGCCACCCGGCGATCCTCGCGCTGTCTCCTTGGGTGCGTCTTCCTCTCCCCGTTCGTCCGAGCAGAACGTCCCGAACCGGGTCTCTCTTGTCTACCCGCAGCGCCTCACGGACTCTCTGCGCACGAGCAACAGTCCTTCACGGCCGAACCCGTCATGACAGGCCTCATGGCGCTCGTCGTCCACCTCTTTGTGAGCGCTTTGACCCTTTCTTCCCTTTCCTTCCCTTCCTCTTTCCCTCCTCGGTCCCTCGTCTCCCTCTCTTCTCGTTCTCATCGTGCACCTACTTCCTCATTACTGACGCTCAAGTCCCTCGCCCGCAGTACGCGCACCGCGTGTGGGTCGTCTCGGAGAAGAGCAAGACGGGCACGCTCATCGCAGGCGTCATCTCGGTCCTCACGGTCGTCCAGTTCGCCTTTGGCGCCGCGGTCACGGGAAAGATCATCGCGTACGACCGCGAGTTCCTGCGCTTCGCCGACTGGCTCTGGGGAGGTGCGTCGCCTCCCTCTTCTTCTCCTCCTTCCCCTCCTTCCCCTCCTTCTTCCCTCTCTCCTTCCTCCCTCTCTCCTGTACTTCTTCGCACGGGTCTGACATCGAGTACCCTCCCGCAGCGTGCGTCTGGCTCGGCCTCGCCGCCGCTGTCGACCTCGTCATCTGCGCGGGCTACTTCCACTACCTGGGCGTCGTGTCGAAGCAGATGGCCGGCCCTTTCGAGAGGTCGACTAAGTCAGTGATCCAGGTCGGCATCCTCATCCTCGCGACCAACGGCCTGAGCGCCGCAGCAGCTGTCGTGCGTCCTCCTCTTCCTCTCTCCCTCTTGCGCCTCCTCGCGCCGCACTGACTCTTTCTCGACATGTACAGATCGCCACGGTCCTCTTCGGCGTCTTCCAGCAGACCAACTACCACGCGATCGCCCAGCTCTGCCTCTCCAAGCTCCTCGCCCTGTCCCTCCTCATCGCGCTCAACGCCCGCAACCTCCTCGCCGACCTTCTCGGCGTCGAGGCGGGCTACTTCACGTCTTACGGCGTCAACGTCAAGCCGCAGCGTCGCGTTGTCGTCGGTGGCGCCGGCGGCGACCAGATCGGCTCGTCAAGCGACGGCATCTACGGTCGCGCCGCGTCGCAGGCCGGTTTCGGCGTCCTCGGGCACAGCAAGAGCGTGCGCTCGCCCGGCGGGCCTGGCAGCAACGTCGACCTCGCCGTGCAGGGCGCCGGCGGGTACGTGTACCCGGTGTCGATGCCCCGGGCGGGCAGCGCCGACGGGCACTCGCCCACGCCGAGCAGCGAGAAGGAAGCGCCGTTCGCCCTCGAGGACGCCCTCGAGCACGGGACGACGGGAACGTACACGCGGTGCGTCCTCTCTCGCTCTGTTCCTCTCCTTCCAGCGTCTGCGCCCGGGCCTGAATTGACCGTAGCGGGACCTTCTCAAGCAGGCAGCCCTTTGCGAGGTCGTCGTCCGAGCAGGTCGTCGACCAGGTCGTCATGCATCCTTACAATGCGCACGCTGTCTAACGCGCACCCTCTCGTCGTAGCCCCTCCTCGTCGTCGTCGTCGTCGTCGTCGTCGTCGCAGTCGTTCGCTCCTTTTCTATCTCGGCAACTCGCAACTCTCGTTCGTTCCCTGCACGCTCGAGTGAGACGGACAATGCTGTTCCTGCGAGAGACAATGATGCTACTGCGATGTCGAGAGAGAAGAGAGAGGATGGATGACGCGAGCGTCGGCAACAATAGAGACCTCGCGCCCGCCGTCGTGCGCCCACCCGCCGCTCAGGCCCTCGGCCGTCCCTCCTGCTCCGCTCTCCTGCCCGAGCCCTGCTCCAGCTCCTGCTCCGACTCAGTCTCGTCCAGCCCGAACTCGGCCTCCTCGGCGTGCGCTCGTCGCGCCGCAAGGTCGACGAGCCGGCGCCCCCGACCTCGAGCATTGTCCTGCTCCTGCTCCTGCTCCTCCGCCGCCGGCTCGGCGCGCTCGTCACCGTGCGCAGCGGCGTGCTCGTTGTCGTCGTCGGGGAAGAGCCCGGTACGGGATCCCGCGTCGGCGTCGTCGACCTCGAGCTCTCGGACCGCCTCGTCCTCGTGCGCGTGGTCGTGCGCGCCGCGACGCATGACGACCGGCTCGTCTTGCCGTGCGGCCGAGAGACGCTCGTCGTCGTCGCCATCTCGCGCAGGTACTCGGGCCCGAGCGACGACAGGCGGCGCCGCCGGCGGCGGGACCTGCCCGCGCACGGCGAGCGGCTGCGCGTCGACGAGCCGGCCCTCGGTCTCGCGGTCCCACACGCGCTCGCACAGGAGCTCGCGCGCGTCGTACCGCGGGTGGGCGAGGTCCTCGGCCTCGAGCGAGGGCAACGTGCGGCCGCACGAGCCGAGCATGCGCGTCGTCTGCCACCCTCGCTCGAGGAGCTCGTGCTCGCTCGCGAGGGCGCCCCACAGGTCGAGCGTCGGGAGGGCGTCCCACGCGGGGAGACGCTCGTGGCCGGGCCCGCCGGGGAGCGAGTCGACGAGGGACGCGTCGCGGTCGAGGAGCGGGACCTCGAACAGGGCCTTCTTCTTCTCGTCGACGCGCGACGTCTTGACGTGGGTGCCCTTCTCGAGGTGGTTGGTCGACAGCGACTCGAACTCGGGGTAGTTCGGGTACAGCATCGTGTAGCCTCGCAGGTACACGAGCTCGATGAAGTACTTCTTCCAACTGCGCGGCCACTTGTTGCTGCGGATGGCCGGCACGAGCGGCTCCGAGATCGGGAGGGCGAGCTCGGACAGGCGCAGGGCGAGGTACGAGTGGAACTCGCGCCAGTGCTCGGGGAAGTAGGCCGCGCCCCACGAGCACGGGATCTGCGACAGGTACGGCGTCGTCGGGTGGAGCGACAGGCCCTCGAACAGCTTGTGCGGGTCGAACGGCTGGCGGCCTTCGGGACGGAGCTCGATGTTCTTCTGCTGGTACAGCGAGACGCCGAACATGCGCGACGACGCCCGGCGGCCGGCGAGCGTGTACCGGTACTGGAGGATGCTGAACTTGAGCCACGCGTAGTACAGGGGCGACACCTCGACGTCGTCCTCGAGGAGGACGCCGTACGTGTCGTTCGACGTCGGGTACCACGACTCGACGATGGCGGGCATGAGGCCGCCGAGGAGGATGCGGTGCCGGAGCGAGAACGTCCCATGCGGCCAGCGCATGTCGTCGACGAGGCGGTGCGTCAGCCGGTCGGCCGTCTGCTCGAGGTTGACCGACAACGACACGTCGTCGCCAAAGTAGTGGGCCGTCTGGAGCGACGAGAGGAGGCGGTGCAGCGAGACGGGGCGGTCGTTCGTGACGACCGACAGGTCTATGCGCGGCGTGTGGAAGTCTGCAGGCGTGCGCATGTCAGTCTCGGTCAAGGGAACGTTTGGGAGAGGAAGAGAGAGAGAGCGTGAAAGAGGGACGCACGTCGCAGCGCCTCGAGGTCGAGCGCACCGACCCACTCTGCCCGCTTGGCCTCGTCCCTCGTCATGCCGACGATGGTCGGCCTCCCCCTACCCCTCGCCTCGCCCGCCTTGCCCTCGTCCTCGCCCGACGCGCCGACGCTGACGCCCTTGAGCATCTCCCGCTCGGCCCTGACTCGGCTCAACCGCTCGCCGCCGCCGCCGCCGCCGCTCGACCCGCCCCCTCGCACGCCGAAAAACCCGCCCATCCACCGCAAGACCTCGTCGAACTCGCGTGCGCGAGGGCCGTCCGACAGGAAGAGGACGAACGCTGGCGGCGGGTCGAGGGCGTCGAGGGCGTCGACGAGGGCGAGCGAGACGGGCTCATCTGGCTCGGCGCTCGTGTTTGACGACGAGGACGAGGTCGAGGAAGGGCGAGATGGAGGTGCGCCGATGGGCGTCAGGCCGAGGTGGCAGGAGGACGACCCGGTGGCAGTCGGCGGCTCGTCGCGCTCGCGCGCCGGGTCGTAGTCGGCGACGAGCACCTTGAAGTCCCTCCTGACGCCCTCCCTCGAGCTCGACCCTTGCGCGTCGTCCTCGCCGTCGTCCGCCGCCGCCGAGGCCGGCCCGCCCGCCGCCATGCCGGCGAACCGGCACGCGAGTCCCCTCACGGCGTCAAGCTCGTCCCGCCCGCTGACGAGCACGACGACCGTGCCCGTCCCGAGCAACTTCGCGCGCTGCTCCTCTGCGCGCTCGGCGAGCGTCCACTCGCGCATCGCCTGCGCGCCGCCCTTGGACCGGTCGCCGGCCGCCTGGAGGACGCGCAGGCCCTGCCCGCCGCCTTGCGCCGGCTCAAACAGGCCCGCGACGCGCGGCGACGCCGCGAGCGAGCGCTTGAGGCGGTCGCACGCGTAGCCGTCGAGGGCCGTGCCCGAGGGCGCGTCGGCGGTCGACAGCGGGAGGGCGAAAGTCGGGATCGCGTGCTTGGTCCACAGGGCGGCGGCGAGGGCGAGCTCGAGCGGGAGGTCGGTCGCGAGGCCCTGCAGGACCGAGGTCGACGAGGCGCGACCCGGGTCGCGCGGGAGGAGCCACGACGTGGGCGCGAGGAACGGGAGGGATGGCGCCGCGAGGCGGTGCGCCGTGCCACCCGCCCGGAGCGGGAAGACGCACTGCGCCGCGGACCCAGGACCGAGCGAGCCCGCCGCGTGGTGGTGCGACGCCGGGAGGGTGACGCCGCCGGCCGTGAGGAGGGATGAGCCGTACTCCCTCGTGCCGCTCGCGTGCAAGAGGGCCTTGACGTAGCCCTTGTCGCGCCCGAGGACGTCGGTCGCGCGCACGTGCCCGTCGACAAAGAGGACGTAGCTCGTCTCGACGCGCTCGCGCGCTGCGTCGGCGAGGGCGACGACGGGCGGGACCGACGTGCGGTAGGGCGCCGTCGAGACGCGGGCGCCGAGGGCCGCGACGACGGACGGGGCCGGCGCCATGCCCTGCGGGAAAAGGAGGAGGATGTGCGCGGGCGCGAGAGGGGACTGGTGCGCGAGGGCGTCGACGAGGGGCGAGAGGTGCGACGCGACGAGCTGCGACGACGACGTGAGGTGGACGATGGCGGTCCAGTCGGGCGTGTGCGGGTTCGACGCCGACGACGAGAGCGAGACGGTCGACGGGAGCTTGAGGATCTGGGCGAGCGAGTGCGAGTGCGCAGGTGGAGGTTTGGGTCGAGGTGGTCGAGGCGGCAAAGTCGGTTTTGGGAGGAGCGCCGCGAGGTCCTCTGTTTCGTGCAAGGGTCAGCGACGGACCGTGCGGCGATGCAGGGAGAGGAGGACGCACCGCTCGGAAGCTGATCTGCCTCCCACCACCGGTACGCGAGCTTGTGCCGCGGCTTGACCTCGCCCTTCCATCGCCCGACGAGCCACCATACGGCGACGGCGCCGACGACGAGGACGACGAGCCTCAACGGCCTCCCTCGCCACCTGCGGGCCGCCGCACTGCTGCTCGACCCAAAGCTGCCGCGGCGCACGCGCGTCGTCGGCGATGCGCCGCCAGACGAGGCGGCCGACGAGGACGCGCCGGCGAACCCGCCGCCGACGAAGCCGCCGCCGCCGCCGCCGTTCGACAGGCTGATGGACGAGACGGGCGACGCTGCACGACGAGCGAGGTGGGGCGCGTGGTGGGCGTCGTTGTGCGGCGTTGCCGACGAGGATGAAGGGCCGGCGGCGGACGACGAGGACGAGGACGAGGTCGAGGGCAAGGAAAAGGGCATGGTGCGCGCGAGGCGGGACTTGAGGCTCGACGAGCGCGTGACGGTGGTCGTGGCCGTGGCGGCGTGCCACAGGGGGGACGAGGACGAGGTTGGCGACGGAGCCGACTCGGAGAGGGGAACCAGCGAGTCGGGCGAGGCCGACAAGGACGGCGGCTGGTCTTGCGGGGTCGGGGACCGGCGCAGCTGTTGCAGGGCTGGTGGGGGCGCGTGGCTCGGCGCAGGGCGACGGTGGTGGTCGCTGAGCGTGTCGGAATCGCCGGCGGGGGAGAGCGAGGACGAGGTGTCGACTCGAAGCCGCGGCGCGGGCATGCGCGTCGGCTGTGGAGCGCGTCTCGTGTGGCACTCGACGTGCTGCGCTGCTCGGCCGTGCAGCTGTGGCGTGGCGAGGACGGCGAGAGAGAACGGGAGCGCGGCGTGTCGAGAACAAAGTGGTCTCGCCCGCTCACCTCCCCAAGGGCGCAGCTGGGAAGCCTCAGTGCTGTAGGACACGCTTGCAAGTAGCTTGCACGCGTCGCACAAATTTCTGCGGGCGAGGGAGAGTGCGTCGTCGCAGCTCTTCTCGCTTCATCGTCGCCCGCTCGCTCTCGCTCCGTCTCCCACTCACGGCCCAGAGCAGGCACTCGCACCAGCTGCGTCATGCCCCCTCGCATCCGCTCACCCACCCCGTCCGACCAGGAGGACCAGCTCGCGTCCGGCTCCGACACGTCCCCTCCTCCTCCCTCTCGTCGCCCCCCGCCTCCCGCACCGCCCGCGCCCGCACCAGGGCCCGCACCAGCCCGCACCACCATCCGCGTCAAGCCCCTCCAGCCCCCTCCACCGCCTCCTCCTGCGCCTGCGCCCGCACCTGCGCCCGTCTCGGCAGCGCCCCCACAGCGCCGTGGTGCTCGCGCCCGCGCCCAGGCCGCCTACGACGAGTCCGACTCGGACCCGGACGCCCCCATGGACCTCGACGATGCCGAGCACGACGAGCTCGAGGACGAGCTCGACGACGACGACGACGACGCCGAGTTCGACCAAGACGACGAGGGCGACTATGCCCCCTCGCGCTCGGCCGCCGCCAAGGGCTCGCGCGCATCGAGCCGCAGCGGCCGGAGCGGCAAGGCGGCGGCCAAGCCCCGGGCGGGCACAGCGGCCTCGGCGGGACGGCGTCGCTCGAGCGCAGCCGGCGCGGGCACGACCGCGTCCGGCTCGGGCTCGACCTCGACCTCGGCGGCCGCGACGCCGGGCCCTGCAGCAGCCGGCGGTCCCCTCGCCAACATGAAGATCAAGTTCAAGCTCGGCGGCGGGGCCGGGGCCGGGCCGGCCGACGCGGCGAGTGCGGCGCCGTCGAGCACGGCGGCCAGCTCGCCGGCGAGTTCGGTCGCAGGTGGGCGCCGGGGCAAGGCGGCGGCGCCGGGCAAGGGTGCGGGCAAGGCCAAGGGCAAGGCCAAGGGCAAGAAGAAGGCCGGTGCGTCGGCTCTTTCCCTCGTCCCCTCTCTCGACCGGCCGGCGTCCTTGACGCAGGCCCTCGAGTGCTTGAAGATGCAGCCGACTCACACTCTTCCCTCGTTTCCCGCAGAGTCAGACGAGTCGGACGCCTCGCTCGACCTGCCCGACTCGGACGACGACCTCGCCGGCCTCTCGTCGCGCATGTCGTCCCAGGTCTCGGGCTCGGAGCAGGACGAGCTCGCGTCCAACGACGGCCTCGGGTCGGACGACGAGGGCCTGAGCGGCAGTGGCAGCGGCAGCGGCAGTGAGGCGGCGAGTTCGATCTACGGCGGGAGGAAGACGGCGCGGCAGAGGGCCAAGGAGATGGGCGGCGACGAGGCCCTCGAGCTCATGAGCTTGCCCAACGGTGCGTCGCACGAGTTTCCCTTTTCTCTCGTCGCTCTCGACTGGGCGGCGTTGACGCTCGTCTTGTTCTGGTGCGTCCGCAGACGTCGCCGCCAAGCCGGCTCGCACCGACGCCGAGATCGCTCAAGCTCGCGCCGAAAAGTCGCGCAAGCGCAAGTCGCAGGCCGACAAGAAGCTCGAGGACGAGGTGCGTCCCGCTCTCTGTCTCTGTCTGCCCTGTCGCACCCCCGCCTTGCCCTCGTCGCCACCATCGACGGTTCTCCTTCCCTCGCCGCCTCTTCCTCCCTCGACGCTCTCCTCCCGTACCTACTGACTCTTTCACCTCCCCAACCATACCAGAAAACCGAGACGATCAACCGTCTGCTCAAGAAGCCCGTCGGCCGCGTCTCGTCGACCGGGAGCGGCAAGCGCGGCGGCGCCCGAGGCGGCGGCGGCAAGCGCGGCCGCTCCAAGCTCAACAAGAGCATGACGGCCGACGGCGAGGGCGACGAAGACGACGAGGACGAGGACGGCGCGGCGAGGAGGGAGCGCGAGGCGTTCGACGAGCAGGAGAGGGAGAGGAGGAGGAACGTGCGCCCGACGGTTAGCCGCTGGATCAGCTCGATCCGGGACGCGTCGGCACCGGCGCCTGCTCCAGCCGACGGTAACGCCACCACCGCCACCACCACGACCGCCGCCGACGGCCAAGAGCCCACCTTCACCCTCTCGTATTCGCTCCCTCCCTCTCGCCGGCTCGACCTCCCGACCCTCGCCCTCTCCCCCGCTGCCGTCGCTGCCGCCGCAGGGCACAAGCGTCCCGCACCCGCCTCGAGGGTGTTCAGCGCCGAGGAGCGCGAGGCCAACCGGCGCAAGAACGCCGACGGGTTCAGCAAGGTGCTGCTCGGCGCGGCGTGAGGACGGCTGGGCGAGGCGCGGCGGCAGCTGTAGCAGGCGCATGGGAGTGCGATGGACATGGTCGTGCTGTTCCTTGAGCGGCGAGAGAGGAGCTGGCTTGCTCCGCTCGCAGCAAAAAAGCTCTCGATTGCTCGGCGCGAGCTTGAGAAGGTCCGAGCGGCCGCTGTCCTCGCTCGCTTTTCGGCTCCCGGCGCACCCCAAGAGGCGCAAGACGAGCACTCGCACGGGTCGTGTGCAGAACGGAGAGTCCGAGGAGCGACGCCGGTCCGTCTCTCGCCGTCCGCCTCGCCTCGGCCTTCTCCCTCTTCCTCCCTCCTCCCTCTCACTCGCTGCTGCGCCCCGCCCCAGCCGAGTGCGGGACAGAGCCGCAGTGCCCACGCACATCGTTATGCAGCCCAACCTGTCGGGCGCCACCGTCATCTCGCCGCGTCGCCTCCCGGACGAGCTCATCTTCATCATCATCGAGTGGTGCGCCTACCTCGAGGGCGACCGCGAGCGCGAGCGCACCTTCGCGGCCCTGTGCCTCCTGTCGCGGCACTACAAGCCGGCCGCCGAGCGTCACCTGTGCTCGCGCGTCACGATCACGGGCAAGGTCCACGCCCAGGGCATCTTCGTCAGCTCGGCGGCGCAGGTCGTCGCGCGCCGACCAGAGCTTCGTCAGCACGTCCAGTCGGTCGCGTACGGCATGATCGAGTCGCCGTACGTCGAGGAGCACCTGTCGATCGCCGCCCTCCTCGTCCTCCTGCCCAACGTCGAGGAACTCGTCGAGCCAGACTGGTACAGCCCGGCCCTCGCGTGCATGCTGGCATCGGCGCGGGTGCGCATCCGCCGCCTCTTCATGGACACGTGGCAGGACAGCGACGCGCTGCCGCTCGAGAACTACCCGCAAGTCTTCTCTGCGCTGCGACACTTGCGCATCCAGCACCTCGACAACTGGGACTGGTTCACGCTCCCGCCCGTCCTTCGTCGCCTGACGACACTCGCCTTCGGACGTTCTGTCAACGGCCTGAACATCATTTACCGCGACCCCGAGGACGAGGCGTTTTTGCCGCCCAACGTCGACACGCTGTCGTTCCCTCTCGACCTCGTTCACGACAGCTCATCCGCCCTCGCCGACTGCCAGCGCCTTCGCCACTTCGCCATCGTCGGCGAGGCGAGCGTCGCCAAGTACAGGACCGCCATCGGTCAACTCGCCGCCCTGCTTTACGCGACGCCGCCGACCGTCCTGTCCATCTCGATCGACGCAACCCTCCGCATCTACACGGGCGACGGCAAGGGCAACGAACGCGTCGTCGCCGACCAAGAGGTGCTCCCGATCCTCATCCCGCCGTCGTCGACCGACCTCCTCGCCGCCATTCCCCAGCAGGTCGAGCACCTCTCGCTCGTCACAAACTGCTTCCGCGCCGTCGACGTCGCCATCTACCTCCTCAGCACCAGTCGCCCTCGCGCCCTCAAGAGGCTCCGCGTCGGCGGCGACGTCGGGCGCGGCCTCGGCTGGATCCTGTACGGCGGCGGCGCAAAGGGGACTCGGTACGCCGGCCTCAAGACCCAACTCGAGCGCGACGGCGTCATCGTGACGACCGTACCGAGCTACTGGTGAGCGAGATCGGCGGTCGGTGCAGGTGCAGCGGGCGAGTCGGCGCGGAGGAGGGTCGAGCGAGTGTCGGACGGCGGCGAGGAGGACGGCTTGGCAACGACGACCTTGGTTCTGCTTCAGCTCTCAGTGCGACGATCGAGAGTGTCTGTTCGCTTCGGCAGCTTGTCGACCTGAGAGCCACGAGGGCGAGTCGGTGAGCGAAAGCCGGACCGGAGCCTTCTCAAACTCCCGGCTCGTCTGCTCCGCTGCGGCTGGTTCTTGCCTTCTTTCTCCTCCTCGCGTCGAGTTCGATCCACCTGCTGCTTCCTCGCTCGGCCTGCTGGCGGTCACGCTGCCGAAAGGTCGACGCGCCGGTTCCACCTCGCAGGTGCGGTCGGACCGCCGACTCGCTCTGCTCGCTGTCGACCTCACGGCGGTGGCTCTCGCGAGCCCGACGACGCTGAGCTACGCTCGACAACCTCGTCCGCTCCGCAAAGCCGACTTTGCGCGAGCGAGCGGGGCGAGTGCAGGTTGCTCTCCTCGCAAATCGGCTGGTCGCGGGATGCGTCCAGGGTTACGAAGCTGTGCTAAGCTCAAATACGAGCGGCTTCGTATTTCAACGGACCTAAGTTGCCGAGTTGGCCGGAGCCGGATCACTCTCTCGCTCGGCTGGGGCCGCGCCTCGTTTTGGTCCTCCCCTCCTCCTCTCGCTCTCGCTCTACAGCACTCGCCAAGCTACAGCAGACTCGCAGCATGGTGCGCACACCTCTCTCTCGCCATCCCTCGACCGCGCACCGCCGCCCGAGCTCCTGCCGACTCTGTGTTGCGTCGTGCAGTCCTCGACGACCAACAAGCCCGACGTGATCAAGACCAAGGAGGAAAAGGTTGCAGAGAAGAGCTCGTCGGCCCTCAAGAGCTTCATCTCGGGCGGTGCCGGCGGTGTCGCTGCCGTCCTCGTCGGTGCGTCCACCCTTCCTCCTCGTTCCCCCCTCGAGCCAAGAGTGGGGGTCACCTCGGCCCTCGCTCTGCACTCGATGGACCGGCGAGACCATGCAGCGCTCACGATACTTCATTGCTCGCAGGTCAACCCTTCGACCTCACCAAGGTCCGCCTGCAGACGGCGGCGCCCGGGCAGTACACCGGCGCGATGGACGTCGTGAGGCAGACGATGGCGCGTGACGGCGTCCGAGGGTGCGTCTCTAGCTCGCCCTACCTCTCCTTGTCGCCTAGAGGCGAGAGCTCACTCGCTCGTGCCTCGTCGCAGCTTCTACCGCGGCATGGGTCCTCCCCTCGCAGGAGGTGCGCCCGCTCTGTCCTCCTCCTCATCCGACGCGAGAGACTCACTCCCCTCCTTTTATCGAGTCTTACAGTCACGCCGATGTTTGCTGTCAGCTTCTGGGTGCGTCCCTCTCGCGTCCCGCTCTCGAGCATCCCTCCGTGTGCGCAAGTTCTGCGCCCGAGCAGAGCGGCGCAGGCTCTGCGGCGGCTTCAGCATCAAGAGATTGACACTTTTGCCACACACAGGGCTACGCCATGGGCAAGAAGCTCGTCTACGCCATGACCCCGAACCGCCCCTCCTCCGTCCTCTCGTACGGCGAGCTCGCCGCCGCCGGCTTCTTCTCCGCCATCCCGACCACCCTCGTCGCCGCACCTGTCGAGCGCGTCAAGGTCCTGCTGCAGGTGCGTCGCCGCTCTCGCTCGGCGTCGACGTCGAGCTCGTCAGCAGGGACGTCTGCGCGTGTCGCTCACCCTCTCTCCTTTCGCGCGTCGACAGATGCAGGGTCAGGGCGGCAAGCAGCTGTACAGCGGCCCGATGGACGCTGTCGCCAAGCTGTACAAGGAGGGCGGCCTCAAGAGCATCTACCGCGGCACCGGCGCGACGGTCGCTCGCGACGGTCCGGGCAGCGCAGCCTGTGCGTCCTCTTCCCCTCTCTCTAGTTCTCCCTCCCATCTCCCCCTCGAGACAGCGCCTCTACGACATGCGCCGATACTGACGCCCTCTCGCCCCGTCGCGCAGACTTTGTCGTGTACGAGATGGTCAAGAAGTCGCTCACGCCGGCTGGGCAGGACCCGGCCGCGCTCTCGCTCAGCGCCGTTATGATCGCCGGTGGTTCGGCCGGTGTCGCCATGTGGACGCTCGCGATCCCGCCAGATGTGCGTCCCCGTCCACTGCCCGCCGCACTCGGGCGAACGGCCCTGACGACTCTCCTTCTTTCACGTGCGCAGGTCGTCAAGTCGCGCCTGCAGGGTGCGCCCGAGGGCACGTACAAGGGCTTCATGGACTGCGCGCGCCAGACGGTCGCCAAGGACGGCGTCGGCGCGCTCTTCAAGGGCTTCGGTCCGGCCATGGCGAGGGTCCGTTGCCTTCTTCCTCGCCCCTCTCTGCGACGAGCCACGCTCACGCATCCTCTCGAACTCGGGTACTGACGCCTTGTCTCGCTCTGCAGGCTTTCCCGGCCAACGCCGCCACCTTCGTGCGTCTGCCGCCTTCTCCTCGTCGACACTCCCCCTCCCTTGTCCTTCAGCTACTGACCCTCCTCCTCACCCACAGCTCGGCGTCGAGCTCAGCATGCAGCTCATGAACAAGCTCTTCTAGGCGCTTGACGCGTCACCGTTGGCGCGACCGTCGTCGCCTGCCGGTCCGCCCTCCCTCCCTCCCTCCCTGCCTTGCCCTCTCTCGAGCCACCTCCACGAGGCGACCTTCGCTTGTTCCCTCCTTCCAGCTTTGCCCACCGCAGTAGAGTGTAGTCTTTGCAAATCAGACGCTGTGCCACCTTTCCTCGGTTCGCCGTCGTCGAGCGCGCGCGCTCGCCAACGTCGCTCGGACCTCGTCTCGCTCTCTCGTGCTCGTCTTGCCTCGCTCTCGCGCGAGGGCTTCTCACGCTGTATGCCTGACGAGAGCAGGCGAGCTTGTCCACACGAGCGCTAGACGTTGCCGCCGGCGCCAGCCAGAGCGGTCGCTCGCAGGACCGCCGCTCAGTCGCTCGCTCGGGGCTTGCGATGAGCGACGCAGCAGCTCTACGAAGTGCTTGTACGGCTGTCTCGCAGTTCTGCAACCGACCTCGAGCAGTGTGCTCGACCGACCCCCGCTCGTCGTCGTCATCTGAGCTCGCCGTCTCTCTCGCTCTCCCTCCTCTCCCACCCAGCAGTACAAGCTCGTTCTGCACCATGCTCCGCTCTGCGACTCTGTCTCTTCGCGCTGCGCGTGTCGCGCCCCCTGCACCGTGCGTCTCCAGTCTCCTCTCTTCCCCACACCTCGTCCCACGTCGCCTCGGCGCCAGTTCGCCGGGCAGGCCGCGCGCACACTCGCCAGCCTGCAGGGCACATCGAGACTGACCTCGAGTCCTTGCCTCCCTCGTGCAGCACCCTCATCCGCGCCTACCGCCCCACCGCGTCCGTCCTTATGCCGACGACGAGCACGGCGTCCCCTGCGTCGCCCAAGGACGAGCAACGCGCGACCGCCCAGCAGCATCCGACGCACAAGCCGGCCGGCAAGGGCAACACGACGTCGCCGCAGGCGTCGGCGTCGGAGCACAACGCGCCCAAGGACTCGGACAAGGACAGGATGGAGGCCGAGGCGGCGTCTGCTGGCCCCGAGGCGGCCGATGGACGGTACGGTGCGGCCGACATGGTCGAGGGCAACTACACCAAGGACTCGAAGGAGGCCAAGGACCGCAAGGAGGCGGGCAAGATGGGCGAGCGCTGAGCGAGCGGCGCCGCCGTCATCGTCGACACGCCGCACGACGAGTGTAAATATCCTCCCTTTCGCGTGCGTCGCAGCGCGAGACGGAGAGCAGAAAGCGAGAGCGGCAGCCTCGAGCTGCTTGAGCCGACACCTTGCGAGCAGCGAGGGCGCAGGTTGGCCGACGAGCAGTGCGGTGCGTCGGCGCTCGTTCTCTCCTCCTTTGCTCGCCCGGTACAGGCCCTCGACCGACACTTACATTCTCACGGTCACAGGCGGCAGAAGGGAGCGCCAGCTCAAGTGCCGAGAGCGAGGTGAGCGTCGAGCGAGACGGCCGTTGGCGGCGCCGGCGCCTCTTTGCTTCCTTCCCTCTCCTCGTCTCTCCCCTCTCTCCCACCTCGGCCTCGACCCGACCCGGCACACTCTTTTCCGAGCTGCACCCGAGCGCCAAGTACCCCTGCACCGGCGCGCGAGCCCTGCATCTTCCCCTCGTCCTCCTCGCTCCCCCACCCTCGTCCCGCCGGACGGGCTCCTCGTCATGTCGCCCCTCGCCCACCGCCAGGGCCCGCACACACCTACAAGGGCTCGCACGAGGGCTTCACGCGTCTCGGTCCCGACCTCACGCCGTGCGCCCCTCGCCGCCGCCGCATCGGCCAACATCCCGCGCACCGACCATCGCGACCCGACCGCTCGCGTCGACGGCCTGTGCGCCAAGTTCACGACCGCGACCCGCCTCGCCAACACGACTACGGTGACGCACAAGCAGCAGCGCGCCGAGGCCGGCGCCAAGATGCGGGACGCGTCGTTCGACAGGCCCGAGCGCCACAAGCTCGCCATCTCGGCCAAGGCTGCATCCCCTGTCGGCTCGAGCGAGCAGGCTCAGACCGCTGCAGTGCGTCGTCCGCTCTCTCCTGCCTCCACCACGCACGGCCACCTGTACTGACCGTCTCTTCCACCCCCCCCCCCCCTGGCCCTCCTCCTCTCTCGTCGCAGATCACCCCTGTCGCCTCGTCGCCGTACGTCCCTCCGCACATCCGCAAGGCCGCCATGACGGCTTCCTCGTCGTCGCACAAGGAGAACGTCCCGCTCGGCTGGTTCGACCGGTCGGCGTGCCCCGAGTCCGAGGACAGCTTCTACTCGCACGTGTCGAGCACGTTCAGCACGCCGCCGCTCGGCTCGACGCCCAACACGAGCTTCCCGCAGCTCTTGTCGTCGACGTCGTCGTCGTCGAGCTCGGCGCGCCACACGTCGAGCCCTCGCATGTCGCGCGCCCGCCCGCCCGCCTCGGCCGCCACGCGCAGCCCGCACCCGCTCTCGCCGACGAGCATGCCCGTCCTCGCACGCTCGCCTGTCTCGTCGAGCGCCTCTCGTCAGCCTCTCTTCCTGTCGCGCCGCCAGTCGCACCCGGCCCAGATCCTCGAGGACGACGAGCGCGAGGACGACAGCATCGCCGTCTCGGGGCGCCCCGTTTCGGAGCGCAGCTGGGCCGACGAGGTGGAGGCCGAGTACGCCAACACGTCGCACGTGCCGCTCTCGCCGGCCGAGGAGGCGCTCCTCGGGCAGGACGGCGCTGACGCCGCGAGCGAGGGCGGCTTCAACGTCCAGATCGGCGTCCAGCTCCGCCGCGAGAGCGCCTTTACGACTGCCTCGAGCGCTCTCGACGTCCCTGAGGACGAGAAGGGGGCGTGCACGGGCTGCGGCGCCGACGAGACCGACTGCTTCATCAACCTCGTGCGTCCCGCTCTCTGCGCCCTCCTCTGCCCGCTCCCGCTCTCGACGGTCATTCTGACAGACCCTCCTCTTGTGCGCAGACGCCCTGCGGTCACGCCCTGTGCCCCGTCTGCATCAACGCTCTCGTCAACGCCGCCGCGCACAAGCCGCCTCGCCCGACCACGTGTTTCGCCTGCGCGTCGGCCGTCGGCAGCTTCGTCGCGACGGTCCCGGCGTCCGAGTCGGGCAAAGGTCTCGTCACGGCCCTCCTCGACTCGCTCGCCGCCGGCCAGGTCGAGCGCCGTCAGTCGATCGTCGCGCCCGCCGACGTCCTCGCCGGCGAGGGCGGCGAGAGCATCAAGATGCGTCGCAGGCGCCGCCGCAGCTCGGTCGTCGCCGCTGCCCTCGCCACCGTCTTTTCGTCGCCGATGAGCGGGAACCGCACGTCGCTCGACACGTCGACGTCCTCGGCCGGCACGCTCGCCAGCGACTTTGGGTCGCTCGAGTCGCTCGAGTCGCCGCTCGCCCGTCGCAGTCGCCCCAACAGCGCGCCGCTCACTGCGTCGCCGACCGTGCGCATCAACGCCGCGTCGCCGAGTGTCGTCACGTCGTCGTTCGGTCGCGCCGAGCGCACCACCGCCCGCGAGTCGGTCGACTACACGCAGGACCTGTTCTCGACGACCTCGTCCACGTCGTTCAGTCGTCGCGCCTCGTCCGTCGTCATCCCTCCCGTCGCGTGGCGCGCCAACATCAACTGGCCCGTCGTGCGCCTCGACAACGTGCCGTGGGAGTTGACGGTCGACGAGGTCGAGGCGTGGCTGCCGCCTGGGACGCTCGCGAGCGACCGCACGGGCACGACCGGCGGTGCCGCCGACACGATCGAGGAGGTGCAGGTCGACGAGGGCCGTGTCGGTGACGGCGAGGGGGTCACGCTCGCCGTGCACATCCTCTGCAACCGGTGCGTCGTCAAGTCCTCTTCCTCCCTCTCAATCTCCCTCGACTTGGTCTGTCCCTGCCAAAATATGGACTGACCTGCGCCGGTCGACGTCCTGCAGCGCCGACGGCCGCACGCTCAACCAGGCCTACATCGAGTGCTCGTCGCGCGCCGCCGCTCGCAAGATCGTCCGCCTGCGTGACGGCTTCAAGTTGCGCAACCGCACGATCCACGTCGCCATGTCGAGCCAGGGCGAGCTTCTCGGCACGGTGCGTCCTCGCTCTCTTTGTTCTCGACTTCGGGAAGGTCGACCTTCCCAAGTTGCCGACGAGCTCACCTTGCCCGCATTTCCAGGTCTTCCCGACGTACCTTCCGGGCTTCGACGGCCTCGAGCCGCTCTCGATCGACCGCCGCAGGACGGTGGCGCCGATCCCGCTCCTCGTCCAGACGGAGCTCACGGGCCTGCTCAACCTCTGCCGCCTCGAGGTGCGCCCCTCTCCCTCTCTCGACTGCCTTCTGAAAGGCGAGGAACTAAGTCCCACTCTCTCCTGCAGTCGATGCACGCTCGCAAGGCGCCCGAGAGGCCGTTCTTCAACCTCGTCACGCTGCTTGAGAAGGTGCGTCGGGCTCGTCTCCCTTCCTCTCGCCCTAGCCTTGCCGTACCCTCGATTTGACTCCTCTCTATCGACTCGAGCAGATGCCCTGGGCGTACCCGCAGTGCTACAATAGCGCCGCCGTCGTGCGCATGTTCAACACGTCGTGCGCCGCCATCGAGATCCTCGCGACCGTCAAGCGCACCGTCGTCGACTGGCAGGACATCCTCGCCGTCCTCGTGCGTCTCCCTCCCTCTCTCTCCTCTCTCGTGGTGTCCTGGCCTCCTCACGTGCGCGTATCAACGTCGTCTGGCTCGCCCGCAGGTCGACGCCATCCTCCACTGCCCTGTCTTCCGCCCTCAGCAGAAGCAGAAGGCCGTCCACCTCGCCGCAGCGCTCGGGTACGAGCGCTACGAGTCGACGGCGAGCACGCAGGTCCGTCCCTTCTCGCTCCAAGTTGTCTCTCTGCGTCGTCGACTTGACCGCCTTGCCCGCCGTCCGCAGGTCCCGCTCGCGCACGTGCCCGCCCCGAGGACCGTCGCCGGCGTCTTTGACGGCTTCTCGTTCCCCTTCAAGCCTCCCTCGCTCCAGCAGCCCTTCGTCTCGACCGCACCTCTGTCGAAGGCGCCCGACTCGACCCTCGACCCGCTCTCGCCGCTCTCCGTCCCGCCCGAGGTCGAGCCTTTCCCTGTCGCACGCCCCAAGCGCACGAGCCCGCACTCGACGTCGCTCGCCTCTTGGTCGTCGTCGTCGTCGTCGGTCGACCCGTCGTCGATCGGCAACGTCAAGTACCGCCGCCGCCGCTCGTCCCTCGTCGCCGAGCTCGGGATCGAGCCGGGCCTGCTCGACGCCATTGCGAGGGCGCTCGGCGTTACGCTCGTCGGCTCTTCGTCGCACGACAAGGTCGAAGAGGGTGCGGTCGGGTCGAGCTCGTGAGCGCGCCCTCGACTCGTCTCGAGGAGGGACGGGGGGGAGGAGGAGGAGAAGGTCGTCGTTCGCTTGGTCTCTCTCGCCGTGCCCTTTCTTTCCTGCACCCCTGTCTCTCTCTCTCTCGCATCCCCTCGCATTTGCCTCTGTCTCGCAACTATCGTTTTACAGATACGAAAGCTCGGGCAACGAGAGTACACAAAGAGAGAGAGAGAAAGGGAGAGAGACCAGCTCACTGCGCGAAAAGGAGCGCCTGGCCCGGTCGCACGACATCTCCAACCTCGCACGCGATGCCCGAGACCGTCTTGCACACCAGAGCTCGAGGAAGGCGAATGTCCACCGACGTCTTCATCGCTCGACCGTGACCGGCACGACGTCGCTCGTGAGGACGTCGCCGACCTTGACGCCGAGCGAGCGCACCGTCGCGAGTACAGGGGACTTGAGAGGGGTGCCAGTCACTGCGAGACGAAAGAGGGCGTGTCAGGGAGGCGCTCGGGGGCCACGAGGCGAGAAGGTTGGAGCCGACGCACTCGTGCCCGATTTGCCGCCCGAGCCTGCCGCTGCCGCCGCCGCTTCTGCCTCCTTGGCCTTCTCGAGCTGCTCCTGGTACTCGGCGACGTAGACGGCCTCCCTGCAAAGGAGAGAGACGCAAAGAAAAATAAGTCAGTCGAGGGTCCGAGCGAGGGGAAGGGGAACGTGCCACAGAGAAAGTGGAACGCACTGCTTGTTCAGCGCCGCAAAGCCCTCCTTGCGACGGTGGGCCTCCTGCTGGGCCTCGGCCTTGGTCTTGCGCTCAAACTCGAGGACCTCCTTGGCCGAGATCTTGAAGCTCTCGATCTTGGGCTTGTACGAGCCCGCCGTAAAGGCCTTCTCGATCTGCGAGCGGCGACGGCGAGGGGCCAAGAGTCAGTCTCGTGGGCATTATGACGATGTCGACGACGCCGACGACAAAGATGGAGAGAGGAGAGAGGAGAGAGCGAGTGCACCTTGAGAAACTCGTCCTCCTCGAGCGGGAGCCAGTGGACGACGTCAAAGTTGCGCAATAAGAACTTGGCCTCGTAGTCGCTCCCGGCTGCCGCCTCGTACCGGCCCCAAGGGCTGAAGGGCGTCAAGGTCTTGCCGAGGAGCTGGTACCCGCCGGGGCTGTCGACCGGGTAGATGGCGCTCATGACGCCTGCGAGGCCGAGTGAGCCGGCGGGCGTGAATGTCCGGGTCGGGCTGCGTCCGGGAGGGACATCAGACGGGGACGGTGGAACCAGAAGGAGAAAGTGCGGGACGCACTTGTACTTCTGGCTCGAAAAGATGCAGCGCTGCGAGAACGGGCCCATCATGGGCAGGCCGGCGAAAAAGCTGCGCGAGACGACGAACCAGTCGCACGAGCAGAACGTGTCGGCGACCTCCTTCGAGCCGCTCATCGCGTTGGCCTTGGCGAGGTACTCGATGTTCGACGGCTCGAGGTAGACCGCCTTGGTGCGGCCGGTCGACTCCTTGTACCGCCGCATCGTCTCGGCCAGGCTCGAGTCGTTGAAGACGACCTGTCGCACAACGATAGTCAGGACCGGAAAGTGAAAGAGAGACAGGAAGAAGACGGACAGGAAGGTGGATGCGCCGGGAAGGGACGACTTGGTCGAGCGACTCCTCGGCGAGGCCGGTCGAGGTCGAGACGAGGAGCTCGACGAGCTCGCTCTGCGGCAGGATCTCGGGGTGGAACTTGACGAGGAGCGACGCGACACCGGGAATGAAGGCGTACAGGCCTGCAGGCAGCGCGAAAGTCAGGATCTGCCCGACGAACGAGGAAGACGAGGAGGGACGGACCCGAGATGTTCTTGGCGCGCAGACGCCGCTCCCACAGCTCGGCAATGAGGCGGGTGCGGAACGACAGCGTCTGCTCCGTGCCGATCTCGATCTGGATGCCGCCGTCGCCCGACTGCGGTCCGAGGTCAAGGTCAGGGCCTCGGTCGACGCAGAGAGAAAGAGAGAGAGTGGGAGAGAGAGGACAGCTCGACGCACCTGCTTGAAGCTCAATCTAGGCGCATCGACCGACTCGTCCGCCTCGATGACCTTGATGAGGCCGTCCGAGATGGTCGTGCTCGACGAGGCAGGAACGTCGAGCGGGAACGGCACGACGGCGTGCGTCGAGCTCGACTTAACGGCCTCGGCGATGGCGTCGAGCCAGTTCTGCTGCTTCTCGGTCTGCCCGGGGAGCGAGTCGAACGATGGCTGGACGAAGCGGAACGTGTCGCCCGAGCGCAGCTGACCCATCTTCCACCAGTCGGCCTGGACCTGCGCACGACGATTGGGGAGGGAAGAAGGTCAGGCACACGTATAGAGAGGGAAGGGAGAAGATTGCGGAAGGCCAAGAGAGAGGGCTCACCAAGCCGAGGACACAGATCAAGCCGCCGCAGTCGGGCCCATCGCTGCCGAGGAGCACAGGCACGTCGCCGTTCATGTTGACGTTGCCCGTCGTGTAGCCGTGCTCGACGCAGTTTGAAGGGTGGGACCCGCCGGCGCCGCCGTCGACCCGGCTGTACTTGAGCGGCTTGAGCCCTTGCAGCCGAATGCCGAGGCGGTTCGAGTCGGACGAGACGGTGTAGGTCGTCGAGTACAGGAGCTCGCGGTCCTCGGCGAGGAGGTAGTCGTCGTCGGCCTGCGGGCCGACCAAGGCGGCGAGGGTCCAGCTCGACGGGTACGACGGGAGCGTGGCGGCAGGCAGGGTAAAGTCGGTCGTGTCGGAGCTAGAGGCGCCGTCGACAGCGAGCGTGATGATGTCGCCGGCGACAATCTCGCGGCCCTGCAGGAAAGAGGCGAGTGAGCCTTCGGAACCGTCTCGACCTTCTCAAGTTGGCGGAGCCGACACTTCTGCCGACAAGAGAACGGGCACGAGACGCACCTGGACGCCGCCAAACTTGGCCGCAGTAAAAGTCGACTTGGAGCCCGCAAAGAGCGGCACCTCGGGAAAGCCGCCTCGAACGGCGATGTACAGGCGCTGGCCGCTGCCCTCGCACGCGCCGACCTCGAGCGTCGCGCCTGCAGGAACGACAAAGCGCGACCACATCGGCTTCTTGTCCTCGTCGATGAAGATGTCGGCCTCGGCGCCCGTAACGGCGACGACCGACGCCGTGCTGAACTTGAGCGACGGGCCACCGACGGTCGCCTCGAGGAGCTCGACGTCAGGCGCGTTGCCGACGAGGATGTTGGCCGCCTTGGCGGCGAGCGGGTCGGCGAAGCCGCTGCGAGGAATGCCGTCGCCGCCGGAAGGAAGACGAGGTCGGCCGTCCTGGACCGTGGTCGAGATGCCGCCGTCGACAACCTCGATGCAGGCGGGCGTGTACGGGAACGAGTCGAGGAACTTGGTCGTCATCTCGCCGGCGACAAACTCTGCAGGTGGTGGGCGAGTGAGCCTTGGCCGTCGTCGAGTCGGCGTGATCTTCTCAAAAAGGTTCGAGGGAAGGCGTAAGGCGAGGACGCACCCTTGCAGTTGACGATCGTGCGCAAGTACTCGAGGTTGGTCGACGTGCCACGGAGGATCGTGTCCTTGAGCGCCTGGTCGAGGCGAGTGCGCGCCTCCTCGCGAGTTGAGCCGCGGCAAATGAGCTTGGCGATCATCGGATCTGCGTTCGCGGCTTGGTCAGTCCGCTCGAGGTGAAAGGGAGAGAGGTAGCAGGGACGCACCGAAGAAGGACGACACCGTGGTGCCCGTCTCGACCCAGGTGTCGACCCGGATCCAGTCGGCCGACGGGAACTTGACCTCCTGCAAGAGGCCGGGCGACGGCTTGAAGTTCAGGTGCGGGATCTCGGCGTAGATGCCTGCGTCAAAGGGCAGAGTGAGGGGGGCGCACGTGAGAAGGGAGGAGGAGGAACGAGACAGACGGGCCTCGATAGCGTGGCCGTGCGCGTTGGCGACCTCGGCCTGGTCGGGCAGCGAGAAAGCCGACGAGCCCTGGCTCGCAAGGCCGAGCTTGATCATGAGGCCGACGAGATCAAGTCCTGGCCGCACCATCTCGGTCTGTGGAAGGGCGGGAGGTGGTGAGCACGGGAGGAGGAGGAGGAGAGAGCGGGAAAGGGAGAAGGGACGCACCACGGCGTGCTCGACCTGGATCCGGCTGTTGAGCTCGAGGAAGTAGAACTTGGCCTGCGTGTTGTCGACGATGAACTCGACCGTACTGTCGCAGGGGGGAAGACAAAGTCAGGCTCGCGCCCCGGGAAAGTCGCCATCCGAGAGGAGGAGGAGGAGCGCGACGCACCCGGCCGACCGATATTTGATGAGCTCGCACAGCCGCACCGCCGCCGAGCACATGGCGTCGCGCATCTCGGGGTGTCGATCGATGAAAGGCGACGTCGCCTCCTCGAGCACCTTCTGCTGGCGCCGCTGCGCGCTGCACTCGCGCTCGCCGACGTGGATCACCTTGCCCTTGCCGTCGCCGAACACCTGCACCTCGATGTGGAGCGCGCTCGGAATAAACTTCTCGATGAAGACGCCGGCGTTCGAGAAGAGCGTCTGCGGGGCGGCACGAGGGTCAGCTCGAGGACGGATGAGGTGGGAGGGGAGTCGAGGAGAGAGAGCAAGGCGCACCTTGGTCATGCCGACAGTGCTCTCAAAGTTCTTCTCGAGCTCCGTCTCGCTCCCACAGATGGACATGCCCATTCCTCCGCCGCCGCCCGTCGCCTTCAACATGATCGGGAACCCGACCCGCTGCGCCTGCTCGAGGGCGGCGTCGAGCGTCGAGACGAGCTCCGAACCGGGCAGGACGGGCACGTCGGCCGCGATGGCGCGAGCGCGCGCCTCGTGCTTGAGGCCCATCGAGGCGATTTGGTCGGCGGTCGGGCCGAGCCAGAGGAGGCCGGCCGCTTCGACTTTGGCGGCGAACTCCTGCAGGACGACGACGAGGTCAGTGGGGGCTTCGCGCAGGACTGGACACGCTCGGGCTCACCTCGTTCTCGGAAAGGAAGCCGTAGCCAGGGTGGATCATGGTCGCGCCCGTGTCGCGGCAGGCTTGGAGAACGGCGTCTCTGCGGGTGGAGGAGGCGAGGGTCAGCCTCGCTGCCCTGAATCGGCGAGAAGGGGCAGATAGGACGCACTGATCGATGTAGGCCGGCACGAGCACGGTCTCGTCGGCTTGCAGAGCGTGCGGCGCAGCAGCGTCGGCGTCGTGGGCGAGGGCGACGGTGGGGATGTCGAGGTCGCGCGCCGAGCGCAGGATGCGCATGGCGATCTCGCCTCGATTGGCGATGAGGAGCTTGTGCTGCTGGGCCGCCATGGTCGTGCGTGCGCTCGAGAGCGATTCTCGTCGAGGTCGGGTGCGAGATCGAGGTGGGGAAGAAGGACGGCGAGCGAGGGCGGCTCACGCGGCGGCGAGGGCGGGGTTGGACGGCGGTGAGGGTGCGTGTAGATAGGTGAGCGAGTTTCGGGTGTCGTGCTCGAGCTCGTCGAGGCGGTGGGTGTTGAGCGAGCGAGGAGCGGCGAGGGATCAGGTGGTCGTCGCGGCGAGGGAGGGCAGCCGACGGAAGCTGGCCGGCATGGACGTCCGCTTTTGTCCGGCGCGAAGCAGATTCGCGCGCAGGGCCGCCCAATCGTGGCGTACCGCGACAATCGGCCTGGTGTCGTCCGAGAGCAGCGGAGAAGCTCACGAGTCGACCAGCGTGCGGGGACAGCGGGGCGAGCCGTTGTCGCGCTCAGGGTCGTGGGCGTGCACGCAAGCTTCTCGCGCAGGCACACGAGCGCTTCCTGGCGGGCAAGTTCGGCGCCGAGGACGGGCGCGAGATTCTGCTCTCGGGCCCTCAGGCTCGCTCGAGTCGCAACGAGAACGAGGCGCACGCTCTCGCTCGCTCGCTCGCACACGCCGATAAATAGGTCTGGCTTGCAGCAGGGGCTCGTTACGCAGGGCCGAGGGAAGAAGTACGAGTACAAGTGCGGCCGCATGGCCCGGTCAGGCCGCCTGCACGACGCCCTTCTTGACGTCGTCGATCGCTCGTCGCACCGCTCCTGCGACGTCGACTGCGCCGGGAAAGTCGCCGTGGACGCAGATCGACACCTTGGTCGTGCCCTCGGGGAAGCTGAGCTCCTTCTCGCCCGACTTGGACGTCCAGGTGCCGGTCTCGATGAGGCGGCGCGCCTGCGCGCAAGAAGACGAGTCGGCGGGTGGGCCCGACGAGTAGGACTGAGAGAGCGGGGACGCACTCGCTTGTACACGTCGTCGGGGGTGACAGGGTCGCGCAGGGCGGCCGAGCGTGGTGCGAGAAGGTTGCCCTCGTCCGAGTACAGCACGTCGACGTACCTGTGCGGCGCACGAGAGTCAGCTTTGTACCAGGGCAGGTCGAGAGAGGCAAGGAAGAGAGAGGTTCGACGGACCATTCGGGGATGAACTCGGCGCCTTCGAGCTCGCAGGCCTCTGGTGGGCCGTGCCGGGTAGGCCGAGCACCGGGACGCCGTACAGCTTGGCGACCTTGGCAATCTGCTGCGCCAGGTCGAGGTCGCGGGCCGCCATGACGTACGCCTGGCCGTGCGGCTTGATGTGCGACAGCGGGAGACCCTCGACCTTGAGGAAGCCGACGAGCGCGGCGACCTGGTACAGGAGGCAATTCCGGTACGAGTCGGGCGGAAGGTGCATGACCCGGCGACCGAAGCCCTGCTGATCTGCAGGCGTACACCGGGAACGAGTCAGTGCCGCAAAGGTGGGCGTGACGAGGGACGAGGAGGACGACAAAACAAACCGGGGAGCGAGGGATGGGCGCCACATGCGACGCCGTGCTGCCGAGCGAGGGCGACCGTCTTGGCCATCACGTCAAAGTCGGACCCATGGAAGCCGCAGGCGGCGTTGACGAGTGACACGAGCGGGAACAGGTTCTCGTCGTCTCCCTGCGGCGACTGACGGTCAGCTACTTCCCTGTGCGGCTCGGCTCTGCGCGCGCAGTGGAGAGGGGACTCACGATAGTGTACTGGGCGAACGACTCGCCGGCATCGCAGTTGAGGGAGGCGTCGAGAGGCATGAACGTCGACCGAGGTGATGAGGACAGAGGCGAGTGGTGGAGAGGACGGCAGGCGGGGAGTCGAAGCGTGCGGTGTGCTGGTGGTAGTGGGTGCTGCTGCACTGTGCTTGTCAGCAGACTGGCTGTGGTGGACGAGAGGGACCCGGTGCTCGTCGGAAGCTCGCCTCCCTTCTCCCCACCTTCTCCGCAACCAGGGCCGCTGCCACGCCAGACTCGCACCTTGCCCGCTTTGCGCAAGTCTGCCTTATCTCCCGACCTTCCGACCTCAACTTCCGCCGGCCGGCTGCTCCGCCCGCCTCGCACCCGCTCGTCGCCTCCGTCACAGCGACCTGGACGCGCGCTCGTCGTCGTCGCGGCGTGGGCGCGGTCTCGATCGGCACCATGTGCTGGACAAGGACGCAGAGGGAGGAGCGAGCTGCTGGCGGCTGTAGCGAGCGCGGCGAGGGGTGCCTCGCCGCCGTCGGCGGACGAGTGCAATCCGATTGCTCTACTGCACGCGACGATGGAGTCCCTGCTCGGCCAGTTGCGTACATGCCGCCGCTAGCGCACCTTTTTCTCCGTCACGAGCTGCACTCGCTTCCTGCGCAGATACCGGGGCTGCTCCTCCGCTCCCCCTCGTCTCTTTCCCTCGCTATCTCTCGCATCGCTCGCCATGAACGTCCTCAAAAAGGTCGACGATGCTCTCTCTGTCAAGCACGAGGCGGGCTGGAACGCCAACGTCTCGACTCGCTGGTCCAACGCAGGTGCGCCCGTCGCGTCTCTCTTCCTCGAGCTCTCGCGAGCGCTTCCTGACTTGCCTCACGCCGGCAGACCTCGATCCTGTGCCCAAGGCGGAGCGCACTTGGACGGGATGGGACATCTGCTCGTACTGGATCAGCGATCAGTGTGCGTGACTGTCCTCGTCGCTCGTCGAGCCGCATGTCCTGACCTTCCTGCTTCCTCCCGCAGTCGCGCCCGCAACCTGGATGCTCGGGTCCTCCCTCGTCGCCCTCGGCCTCACGGCACGCCAGGCCATCCCTCTCTCGTTCGTCGGCTTCACTTTCATCGGCTGCATCATCGCACTCAACGGCCGGATCGGCTCGACGACGCACTGCACGTTCCCCGTCATTGTGCGTCCTGCTCTCCCTTTCTGTCGCACATCCTCGCGACCAAGGGCCTCACTGATAATTCCGCGGGACGTGAACGAGCAGGCCCGTTCGTCGTTCGGCATGTTTGGCGCATACGCGCCCATCCTAGTGCGCTCGATCCTCGCCCTCCTGTGGCTCGTCATTTTGACCTGTGCGTCCCTTCTCGAAGCCTCGCGAGTCTCTCAATGACTGCGCAGCTCCTCTGGGAGCGCCTGAGCACGAGCTCTGACCTGTCTCGTTCTTGGCGCGCAGACCAAGGCGGCGGCATCGTCGTCGTCATGCTCGGCGCCATCTGGCCCAGCTTCCTCAACGTCCGCAACACGCTCCCCGAGGGCCTCGGTATCACGACGCAGGGTATGGTCGGCTTCCTCATTCTCTGGCTTTTCCAGGCGCCGCTCGCCTGCGTCCCGGTCCGCAAGCTCGCCATCTTCTTCCACTTCAAGGTGCGCCCGCCCTTCCTCTCCGATCTCCCTTCCTCTCTTTCCTCGTCGACCAGCACCCGCTCACAACGATACTCTCGCAGGCGGTCGTCTCGCTCATCGGCTTTGCCGGCCTCTTCATTTGGGCGCTCGTCGTCACCAAGGGCAAAGGCCTCCTTCTCACGGGCACGTTCGACGAGGCGCTCCTTCCCCGTGGGTCCAAGAGCTGGGCCATGATCCAGGGTATCAATACCTGCGTCGGCCTGTACTCGACTGTCAGCAGTAAGTCGACGTCGGCGGCCCGAGCGCACCTGTTCCCGATCCTCGTCCCTCGACTAACTCACGCTTGACCTTGCGCGCAGTCAACATCCCCGACTTCTCGCGTTTCGCTCGTCAGCCCAAGTCGAACTGGGGCCAGATCCTCACCCTGCCGTGCGTCCACCGTCCGCCGTCGTCGTCGAGCCGGTCCCGCTCGTCGTTGGCCTTTCCTGACTCTCTCTCTCTCCTTCAGCATCACTGGCGCCATTCCGATCGCCATCTCGATCTGCTGCGCGCAGGCTGCTAAGCAAAACTACGACGTCGTCGTGTTCGACCCGGCGTCGCTGTGCGCCCTGTTCGACAGCCGGGCGGCCCGCTTCTTCTCTGCCTTCTCCTTCTTCGTCTCTACGCTCGGCGTAAATATCTCAGCGAACAGTGTCAGGTGCGGCAGCTTGCCGACCATGAGAAGCTCAGTCGAGGACCGAGGAAGCGGCGCGCTCACTCTCGCCTCCTCCTGCAGCTTCGCGACCGACATTACGGCCCTCGCGCCTCGCTGGCTCACCATCTTCCGGTGCTCGGTCCTCGCCGGTATCCTGTGTTGGGCCACGAACCCCTGGCGCATCGTCAACAACGCGCCGTGAGTCCTCTCCCGCCTGTCGAGCCCGAGGCTCGAGCGCTGACCCTCGCCTTCCCCGCAGCTCGTTCTACAACTTCCTCTCGGCCTATCCCGTCTTCCTCGCACCCGTCGCGACAATCATGGGTGCGTGGAGCGCTCCCTTAACTCGCGAAAGAAACCCTGATTGACCTTCCTGACAGCCACGGACTTTTTCCTCGTCAAGCGGCAAAACGTCGACATCCGCGAGTTCTATAACCCGCACGGCATCTACACGTACTTCTACGGGTTCAACCTGCGCGCCCTCGGCGCCTGGCTCTTTGCGTTCGCGCCGAACCTGCCCTCGTTCGCCCACGCCGTCGACCCGAGCAACGCCGACGTCTTTCCCTGGCTCTACAAGTTCAGCTGGTTCTTCTCGACGGCGAGCGCCGTCTTCTGGTACTGGCTCCTCAACGTTCTGTTCCCGGCGCACGCGGCTCGGGTCGACGAGGCCGTCTACGAGGTGCACCAGGTCCGTCTCCTTCCGTCTTCTCTCCCCTTCCCCTTTGCTCGTCGCCCAGTCCTGACGATGTCGTCACCGGCAGCTCGAGGACAGCGAGGAGTCGGCGATCGGCTCGAGCGACGCCGACAAGGACGTGGCCGACAAGGAGTACAGCACCGGCGTCGTCTCGGTTTGAGCGGGCCGTGCGGTCCTCGCTCACGCGCTCCCGCTCTCGTAGCTCGTTCTCTGGGTCTCTGTGTTCTCCTCGGGTGCCATAGACTCTCTGTATTGCCAGTCACGCGCTCTCCTCGCTGCGCTTCCGACGTCCGCGCTCGTCCGCGACTTTGCGCTCGTGGCTGTCGTCGACAAAGACGAGCAGCGGCTTGCGAGCCGTACGGGGACGTTCAAGAGAGTACAGAAGGCGGTCTGGCGGATTGCTTCCGCCCGCGAAGCGCTTGCACGCGAACTTCCTCATCAGCTCCCGGTCGCGTCGAGGAGAACGCTGCCAGCTCGCTCTCACCTCGCACCGCGCCCGCCTCTTGCGCGCATGCCTGCCTCTGCAGAGCCGTGTGCGACCGCCGCGACCACTCGCAACGCTCCCCCCCACCGCGCTCGCGGCCCGCCAGCGGCCCTTCTCCACCTCCTCCTCCCTGCCTCGTCCTGCGACTCTCTCGCGGTCTAACTGTGTGAGGAGCAGCATGGCGCCACTTGGAGCGGCAGCGGCAGCGTGTTCATGCTGGGTCTCAGCTTCTGTCGACGCGTCCGCACGCTCCTCCCGCTCCGCACCGCTCGGCGTTCGTCGGCGGCGGACGCTCTCGCTTTTCTCCCGCCTGGGCTTCCCTCGCCTCGCCAGCCTTGACGACCACGAGACGACGACCCCGCCACGAAGCATTGCGACGACTGCCTGACCCGACCAGCACGACCGGGTGCGTCCTCGTCTCCCTCCCCCCTCCCCCTCGTCCCTCAACACCACCGAGGCAGAGCTGACCCTCCCTTCGCGCAGCCACACGGCCTCTCGAGGCGCGACAACGACCGCCTGCACGACTCACGACCACCATCGACCGACCCACCGCACCGCCCGCCTCTTCCTGGCCAGCAGACCAACGCGGCCTCTCCTCCCTCGCCTCGTCACGCCCTCACGACCGCCCACGCCCTTCTCACGACCTTGACGGCCCCGCCACTTCCTCGCACGCCCTTTCCTCCGCCTCACGACCACGAGCACGACCACGACATGTACACGCACCGCACGACTCATGCCCCTCTCGGCTCGGTCCGCCGCCCCGGTCCCCCCTTCTCCTCCCTCCGGGAGCGTCCACTTTCGATCGCCTCAACCCTGTCCGCCGTCTCGGTCGTGTCCGAGGCGTCGACATCGTCCGTGCTCGCCAACACGGGCGAGCGACGCCGCCGGTCGGCCGTCCTCCTCGAGCTCGACGTCGACGACGCGACGCGCTCGTCCTTGCGCCGGGCCGAGCAGGCCTTGCGTGCGAGCGAGCGGGACCGTCAGTGGGACGTGCGGCGGTCGAGCTGGCGGGAGCGGCAAGGCCGCAGCCTGCACTTCCAGGAGGACCTGCCCGGCGCCGGCGAGGTCGAGGAGCTCGAGGGGCCCCCCGAGGTCGAGGCGACGACGACGGCGGTGCCGACGGCCAAGCTCGGTCGCTTCAGCCCTCAACGGCTCCTGTACAAGACGCGCTCGGTCCCGAGCAGCATCGCCCTGAGCGCCGAGGACAACATGCGGCCGGCCTCGCCCGCCATCTCGGGCCCCAAGCGCAAGTCCCCCTCGCCGTCAAAGGTCGCCGCGCCGCGTCGCTCGGCGTCGACGGCCAACCTCCTCTCGACCGGGCCGACCGCGGTGCGCCACAGCCTCAGCCCGACCCGGCCCACCTCACCGCCCCAACACGAGCACTTCGGCACGCTGCCGCTCCGCCTGTCGCACCTCCCGCCGCCGCAACACGAGCTCCCGTCCAAGTTCTCGGCATCGTCGGGCGACTCGATGGTCCACGTCGTCTCGTTCGGCGCAGGCGCCGACAAGCCTCGTCGCGGGCTCAAGGACCGCGCGCGCACGTTCAGCCAGGCGTCGGCCGGCGGGCTCAAGTCGCTCAAGAGCAAGGTCGGCCGCTCCCGCAGCATGCGCGGCAAGTCGAACCGGTTGAGCCTCGCCAACCTGTTCGTCGGCCTCGGCGGCTCGAGCGACGAGAGCGACGCCGACCAGGCCAAGCAGCCCGCCGACTCGTCGGCCAAGCCGCCATCCGCCGCGACCAGCAGCGGGACGAGCGGGCACCGGCCGTCGACGAGCATCAGCTCGTACGCGCCCTCGACGGCCGCGGCGACGAGCGACTCGGGCCGGCCGTCGCGCAAGCCGTCGCGCCTCGGTTTCTTCCGCTCGACGCTCAAGCGCGACTCGTCGAGCAGCAAGCGCAACTCGATCCGCACCCGCTCGTCCGGCCAGGTCTCGCCGTCCCTCATCTCGCGCCCGGTCTCGCTCTCCGCGGGCGAGAGCTTCTCGCCGCCGTCGAACGACAAGCGCTCGTCCGAGGCCACGGCCCCGTCGGTCGAGGTCCACAGCGGCGACGACAAGACGAAAGGCGGGTGGGCCAGTCGGCTCAGCCAGGCGGTCAAGGGCAAGAACGTCGCCGCCAAGCGGGCCCTGTTCGAGAACCCCGTGGTCGGCCGGCACGCCCACAAGATCACGGCCTCGACTGCTGGTGCGTCCCCTCTCTCTCGCCCTCGACTTTTCAATCACGAGCCGAGCCTGACGATGATCGTCTGCGCCACAGCGTCGCCCGACTTGACGGCCCGTGCGCGGTCTCGCGACCCGCTCTCGAGCGTCTTCCCGCATGTCGCCGCTCCTGTGCGCCCTCCCCGGCCGTCCAAGAACCTCGAATCGTCGGACGACACGACGTTCTACGGTCACCGCATCCCGGCCGTCAAGTCGCGCGCTGCCGCACTCGACGCCCTTGTCATCCAGTCAAGCGCACCCCGTGTTCGGCCCAAGTCGAGCCTACCTGTCGCCGCCAAGTCGAGGGCCTTGCCGCCGCCGCCGATGCCGTCGTTCCTGTCGGGCTCTGTGTTCCCTCGAGGCGCCGCCGTCAAGGCCAACTCGTACCCGTCGAACGTGCGCCTCCCGCCAGCGCCCGTCTCCCCGGACCCCTCGACCTCGGCTCGCCGTCACTCGCCAGACTCGTTCGACCTCACCGACTCGAGCCTGTCACCGGCCGACCTCACCTCGGCGTCGTACCTGTCGTCGTCGGACGAGGACCGCTGCGCGAGCCCGGCGCGCTCGTTCCGCTCGCCGAGCCCAGCGCGGTTCCGCGACTTGCTCCCGTCGGCCCCGGCCGGGTCCTCGCCGGAGAAAAACGAGCGCGGCCTGCCGATGCCGCAGGAGGCGAGCCCGACGAGCGCGCGGCGCCAGGCCAGCCCCAAGAAGCGCGCGATGGGTCCCGAGCAGGTCATCCTGATGGAGGACGCCAAGCAGCAGCAAGGTGCGTCCCCTTCTCGCTCCTAGCGTCATGTCCTTCTCCTCCACAATCTCTGATCCCTTCCCGCACGCCTGCAGGTCCGTTCACCGAGGTTTGCGGCGCGACGACCGACCTTGCCGACCTCCTGTCGGGCCTCGAGGACACGGAGGACTTCAACACGTCGCGCCAAGTCGGTGCGCCGAGCGCGACACGCTCGCACATCCAGTACGACGTCTCGGACCTGTCGGCGTCGCTGCGAGGTCAACTGCCGCACGTCGACTCGATCGAGTCGCTCCGTTCGAGCATCAGCGACGTCCCTGTCGACCTCAAGCAGCTCATCAACGCCGTCGACGACCACATCTCGGAGGTCGACGTCCCGTACGTCGTCGTCGAGGGCTTCAGCATGACTGGGCGAGCCTTTGCCGACGAGGACTCGGACTCGTCCTGCTCGTCGTCGTCGTCGTCCTCGAGCGACGGCAGCAGCGACGACGACCGCACGCAGAACGAGGACGAGGGCACGCGCAGCCTTGCGACCTACGCGAACCACCACGATCGCCCGTTCCTGTCGGTCGTCGGCGAGCACACGACGGGTTTGCTCGGCAGCGACGGCGGCCTCACGACCTGCTACGACCTCACGGCCTCGTCGTTCGAGGGCCACTTCTCGACAGCTGCTGCCGCACTGCGGAGCATGCTCGCCGGGCCCGAGCCAGGCGTGTCGTCGCCGCCCGAGTCGGCAACGCTCCGAGCGTTCCCGCCGCCGGCATCGGCGACGCTCCAGGCGTTCCAGCTTGCCGAGATCGACGAGGAGCCAAGATCGTCTTCTCGCGACAGCCTGCGCGAGGCCCTCGAACTTGGTCGTCCGTCGGTGCGTCCTCGCCTTTCCCCCTTGCATCCTCTCGACCTCGTCGCGGCCCTCAACCCGAACCTCCTTTCTGACTCGTCGCCTTGCTCCTGCAGAACGGCGAGCGCATGTTCTACGAGGTCGACGACGCCGTCCCGCTCTCTGCGCTCCTGCAAGACCCGTCGCCGACCAACTCGCCCGAGATGTCGCTCATGCAGGCGCGCGAGACCGCCTTCCTTCGCCACCACCTGCGCAGCGCCAGCGCCATCTCGTCGTCCGAGGGCACGGGCGAGAGCTTCTTCTCGACGATGGGCTCGCCGACGCCGCTCCCGTCGACCGGACGTCCTCTGCGCCAGAGCCTCGCCCGTTACTCGCAGGACCGCTTCCCGGTCAAGCGCCCCAGCCACCGCGCCCGGCCTGTCTCGGAGCAGTCGAGCATGTCGTCGTCCGACCAGGGCCACAACTCGAGCGAGCAGACGACGTCGTCGATCGCGGCGCCGAGCACGAGGTCGACCAACCTGTCGGTCTCGTCCCTCACGAGCTCGCCCTGTCCAGCACCGAGTCGGCGGCACATCCCGATGCTCACGAGCAACGCGCTACCGCTGCCGTCGCAGCCGGCGTTCCGCTTCCCGCCGCCCAAGGGAGCGGCGGTGGCGGAGCAGACGCGCGAGTGGGTCGCGTCCGAGGGCGGCGAGGTCGGTCGCCACGCACCTGGGTCAGGTCCGTCCTCGTCTTTCTCTCAAAGCCTCTCCCTGTACTCGGTCACTGACTGTGTCTGCTCGTCTGCAGGGTCGAACTCGCCGCGCTACGTCCGCTCGCTCGAGCGCTCGAGCCCCGGCGATCCTCCTCCTCGACCTCGACTTCTCGACCTCGACACCGACCTCGTATCGCCCGACACGCCGCCACCGTCGTCACCGTCGGATGGCGAGCTTCACGTTGTCGACCTCGGCAAGTCGTCGCGCTCGTCGTCCGAGGTCGCGCACGCGCCGCTCGCGACCGTCGAGCGCAAGATGCGGCACGGCCGCCAGACGTCGCGCTCGTCGAGCATCATGCAGTCCGTCATCGTCGAGGAGGCCGAGAGCCCTGCGTCGCCGGCTCGACCGGTCAGCCTCGAGCTCCGGGCGTACCTCCAGCCGCTCTCGCCCATCCAGGAGCCGCCGTCGCCTCAGACGGTGCCGCACGGTCCGCTCGACGACTCGCCAAGTGTGCGCATCGAGCTCGCCGAGGTCGACTACTTCTCGAACGCGCACATCGTCGACCTCGAGCCGCACGACGACCTCGACTTTACGGCCGAGACGAACCGGGAGCTCACGAGCCGGTACTTCTCGTTCACGTACGAGGCCGAGACGGAGCTCAAGCGCTCGCCGGCGATATGGCCCGACACCGATTACTCGCGCGAGGTCATTGCTCGTGCGTCCCCTCTTCCTCCTTCTCGCTCCTCGTTCAACAAGACCCCCTGACTGACCCGCTCCTCCCCGTGACGCAGACTGGCTCGTCCCGCGCACCTACCACGCCATCCTCGAGTTCATCTTCTACTCGCAGACCCGCTTCCCGTCGCCGCCGCACCTCGTCCGCCTCAGCTCGTGGGTCCCGCTCGCCTTCGACGACCCGCCGACGCCGCCCTCGCCGGTCCGCATTCCGCCGCCGATCGTCGACTCGCCGCCTGACGCTGTCGACGTCGTCCTGACGACCCGAGCTGCTCCTGTGCGCCGCAAGCCCCTCGCGGCCAAGCCGCTCAACCGGCAGGTCGCCGAGCTGTCGAGGTCAACCTCGTCGCCGTCCAAGAAGCCCAAGGAGGACCTGTCGCCGTTCACGGCGCTACCGCCGCGCCTCAGTTCCAAGCTGCGAAGCTTGCGCGGCGGCCAGACGGCGCCGACCGAAAACGCCAAGAAGGTCGACACGGGCTTCCTCGGCGACAACGCGACGAGGCGGCGCCAGGGCCAGTTCAACGCGGCAATGCGCAAGCTCGAAGGCGTCGGCGCCCCGGCGGAGCAGCGCAGCGACGAGGAGACGGACGACACGGGCGTGCTCGAGGCCAAGGGCGAGGCGACCGAGGAGCTCTCTTTCACCAAGTGCGCCCTCTCTTTCTCGACCTCTTGTGATCGTCGTCATTGACTCTATTACCTGGTGCAGGACCCCTCGCTTGTCGACCGTGCGACCCAAGGTTCGCCACAAGGCTGGCCTCGCGAGCATGCGGTGACCTCTCGCCCGCTCGTCGACGGTTGCCCGTTCACGTTGTCCCCTTTCTAGTCTGCGAGCCTGAGTAACGAGTATCTGTGTCCGCTTTCTCCTCGTCGAGCATCACGCAGAGAGGGGTCCTCGAGAGAGCTTGAGCGCAAAGCAGTCCAGCTGAACAGAACGGCAGATGTCACTCGAGCCGCTCGTCGACGCGCTCAGTCGCAGGGTGCGGTCGGACCGCAAGGAGAGAAGCACGTAACGAAAGGCTCGCGCAGCTGGAAGACGCTGCTCTCAACCTTCTCAAGTTGACCCTTCGAGGTCGGGAAAGAATGAATGAGGATGCGAATGCAGGGATTAAGGAGAGCACAGTCTACCTGGCCGGGAACACAAACAGTCTACGTCTAGCTCTACTGCTCCTCTCCCCTCACTACATGACCCAGTCCCACACGCGCTTGGCCCACGACTTGGGCTGAGCGTCCTTGGCCGCCCACTCCTCCTCGAGCTGGTCGAGAGCACGGCGACCCGAGTCAAAGTCCATGTTGTCGAGGCTGACGAACGTCGACTTGGTCCAGAGCTGCGCGACGAGGAGGACAGCGTGAGTTTGAGAAGCTCGAAGAGGGCGAGTCGACGACGAAGCGGCTCACCTTGTGGCCGAGATAGAGGACGACAAAGACGGGGATACAGATGTAGGCTGTAGGCGGACGAAATAGAGTCAGGCTGTGTTCGAGAGGGGAGCTTGAAGGATAAAGGCGACGGGGGAGCGGGACGAGGAGAGGAGAGCGCACCAGTGATGAACGTGCCGGTGTCCCAGTTGCCGTCGAGGAAGACCTGGTACGAGTTGAAGATGATGATGACGGTCATCATGAACGCGCCAAAGAACGAGGCGTAGGGCTGGAGCGGCGCCTGGTACGGGAACTCGCTGCGGTCGATGCCCTGGCGCTTGAGGCCGTAGTAGTACCGCAGGTACGTGACGAGGATGACGAGCCTGCGCGACACACAGACCGTCAGTCCCAGGACAGGACACGACTGAGCTCGAAGGAAAGAGACACCGCGACGTACCAGTTGATGAGGCCCGAGACGGAGCCGATGGCGACGAGGTAGTTGAACGCCTCCTCGCCGGTCGTGCCGAGGTTCATGTAGGCGAGGACGCCAAAGAGGGCCGTGATGACGAGCGACCAGATGGGAAGGCCGTTGGCCGTCGTCTTGGCAAAGATGCGCGGCGCCTGGCCGTCGCACGCGAGGCCATACAGCGTGCGCGAGGCGGCGTACAGGTCCGAGTTGCCGGCCGAAAAGGCAGCGATGAGGATGACGGCGTTGACGATGCTCGGCAGCGCCTTGATGCCGGCGCGCTGAATGCCGATGACCCAGGGCGAAGCGGCGGCGTCGCTGCCGCCGTTGATGAGACGCTCGTCGTTGGGCGACACGAGGAGGGACATGACGAAGACGCCGACGACGTAGCTGCAAAGAAGGGGAGAGATGGGTCAGGTCAGGTACGGGCGCAGGGAACGAGGTCCGTGCACGACGAGCAGGTCTCCTGACGAGAGGGACGCACAAGAAGAGGATGCGGTAGAACACGCGGTTGATGGCCTTGGGGACGTTGCGGCGAGGATTCTCGGCCTCGGCCGCCGTCAATGCGACAATCTCGGTGCCGAGGAACGAGAACGACGCCTGCAGGAAGACGGTCCAGAACGAGCTGCACGAAAGACAGTGCGTCAGTGCTGCTGTTTGAGGATCTCGTGAGGTAGAGAGCGCGAGAGGCGGGCGTGGTCGATTCGACGAGAGGGGGACAGACGGGAAGGGGAGAGACGGGAAGGGGAGAGACGGGAAGGCGAGGGAGAGGCGACGACGCACAGGAAGCGGCCCTTGGCGCCAGGGATACCGTTGAGCTGCTGGAAGGGCGTCTCGCGCCAATCTGAAGAGAGGGTAGAGCGTGAGAGGCTAGTCGACGGGGCAGAAGGAGAAGAGGCAGGCACGCACAGCGGAAGCCGATGGGGTCTGCGCCGGGAACGCCGCCCGACGTGATGATGATGCCGAGCAGGATGAGGCCGACGAGCGTGACGATCTTGATGAGCGAGAACCTGCAGGAGAAGGTCGAGGTTAGCCTCGGTCGCGAGGACGAGTCGAGGCGAGGGTCCGACGCACCAGAACTCAGCCTCGCCGAACGCGCCGACGCCGATAAAGTTGAAGGCGGTGATGATGATAAAGAAGACTGTGTGCGAGAGAGGGTCAGTACGGGCGGTCCAGTAGGAGGGCAAAGTCGACGACGCACCCGTGATCCAGACGGCTACGTTGATCTTGGCCGCACCGGGCCAGTAGTCCAGAACGAGGGCTGCTGCGACAATCTGCGGTACAGCGACGAGTGTCAGAGGCGGCCTGAATTGAGAGCGCGAGAGGAGGAACGGACCTCGGTCGGGATGGTGACCTGCGTAAGGGAAGCTGAGGGTGAGCGGCCATGCTCGACACGGTCGACGCGAAGGAAAGTCTCGCTTACCGCCCACGAGTAGTAGTAGTTGTAGCCGAGGGCGAAGCCGATAGACGGGTCGAGGAAGCGGGTCGCGTGGTGGACGAACGCGCCCCGCACCGGGTACTGCGTCGTGAGCTCGCCGAGCGCGACCATCATCGAGTAGACGACCACTGCGAAGAGATTGTCGTCGTTAGTATCATGAACCAGGGACCGACGAGAGTGCGAGAGGAGGACGCACTGCCCATGATCGTGTAGCCGATGAAGATGCCGGCCGTGCCGCCCGTGTTGAGCGCCGAGCCGGCTCCGACAAAGAGGCCCGTTCCTGCTCGTCGTGATAGTCGTGCAGGCGGAAGAGAGAGAGGCGCGCGGTGGATGTCGGCGAGGCAGGGAAGGGTTGGCAAGGAGCAGTTGGCGAGGGAGGAGGAAGGCGGGACGGTCAGTGACAGTCGGCGTCGAACGGAAGGTAGAAGTCGACGCACCGATCGTTCCACCGAGCGCGATCATCTGGAGCGGAAGAAGGACGACCGAGGGGCAACAGAGTCAGCACCGCCTCTCGCGCCACTTGACGCACGTCGACGAGGAGGAAGGAAGGGGTGGGGCGCACCTGCAGATGGCGCGCCTTGAGCGTGCTGCGTGACGGACAGGTACTGTGAGCAGCCGCACGGTGTACTGCACCAGGGGAGAGTGGACGCACCGCTTGAGGCCGCCCTCGTAGCTCTCGGCATCCTGGACCTTGGGCCCGGCGCGCTCGACCTTGATGTTGGTCTTCTCGAGGTCGATCTCGGACGACGGGGCAGACATGGCTGGCGGTGGTCGCGCACAGGCGGGTGGCGGTGCTTGAGCGAGGAGGCGAGAGGATGATTCCGCGGCGGCGAGGAGGACGAGAAAGGCGCGTCGAACGGCGACTCGGCGGACGCGAGGGCGGGGAGTGTCGGCGAGGACGAGCGCAAGCGAGCAGGTGGGCCTGCTGGTGGGCAGGTGCGCGGGCTCGCGGGTGCAGCAGGTGGTGGAGAGAGGCGAGGGAAGCTTGAAAAAACGTCCCTTTGCGCGGCCGACTCCGGGCCCAAAAAAGGTGTGGCCCCACATTCCGGCCTGACTCTCGCGCGCGCGCTCCGCTCGACCCGCTTCCACCTGCACTCGACAGCGCACCGTCCCACGCTTGAGCCTGCGCTTCGTTCCGGCCGCGCTCCTCCCTGCCCGGCCCCTCGGCTACCGCGGAGCGAGTCTCGCGACGTTCCGCTCACCGCCTCCTTCCCACCACCGTCGACCGCTCGACAGCGCTTCGCGCGCGTTGGGCGGCGCAACGGGAGCTGCCTCGGCGTACGCTGCGTCTCTGCCAGCCCGGGCGCCGGTCCACAGCGCCGAGCAGAGCTGCGCCGCCTCGACCGAGCGCCGTTCGTCTCGGTGGGAGAGCGCTCGCAAGGTCGTCGACGAGCTCAAGGCCCGTCTCTCTCACGCAGGCGTAGTCGAGCGAGCGAGAAGCAGCGCAGACATTTGTTCCACGTGCTGCTCTTGATCGTCCCGAGAAGCAAGAGCGAGAGAGGGCGAGCTAGAAGGAGGACCGCCGTGAGCAGAACAAGGACGGCGCTGCGGCGAGGGCGGGACGCTCGCCACCGGGCAAGCGTTGCGGGCGGGTAGCCAACGCTCGTGGTGTCGAGGAGCGCCTGTCGGAGGCCCAGAAAGCGCTCGTGTCGAGCAGCGCAGGATCGATGCGAGCAACGAGCAGGAGGTCCGAGGACTGGCTCGAGAGCAACCTCGAGCACCTCGGTGAGCCCAAGAGGCGCAGTACAAGGCATACTGAGCGTGTCCTGGAGCCGGACTGGCCCTCGCCGAAGTGTGCAGGCGCTGAGGAGGTCGGCGAGCGAGATGACGAGGGCGGGGCCCGGGAAGCAGGCAAGGACGAGAGCGAGGGGGAGGGGGGCAGCAGGGCGCAGCAGGGGAGGGCGCACTGCTCAGGCTCAGTGCGCAACTGCCTGTGCTGCCAGAGCGGCGCCGGGACGAGCTGTGGTCGGTCGTTGGCCAAGACGACGAAGGCGGGGAGGGTCGGTCGCGGTCAAGCTCCTTCTTCTCACCGCTCACAGCTCTTCCTCCTCCCCAACCACCTGTGAGTCCTCCTGTCCATCATCTCCTCCTCCCTGCGAGGTGCGCGCGGTAGCCCAACCCTCGTCGTCGGCGGCAACCGACCTCGCCCGGACACCTCCGACCGATGGAGCCATGAGCACCTGCACCAGCTCTTGCAGCACCGCAACCGCCTCCAGCAGGCCCGCAGAGCAGCTTTCAGCACCACCGTCCAGCATCCAGTCGGCCGTAGTGACGAGACTCGGTCACTGACGTTCTCTCCTCCGCCCTCCCTCAACCCCGACCCTCCGACCCTCCTTCCTCGACGATCTCGCTCTCGATCTACTCGTCGACCCGTCCGATCTACCTCACGCAACAGCCACAACACCCTCTACCCGCAACCATGACTCGCAAGCTCTTTGTCGGCGGCAACTTCAAGAGTGCGTCGACAACCCTCGCCCTTCTTCCCTCCCTCAGCGCCCCGTGCTGACCGTCTGTCCCCTGCGCAGTGAACGGTGACCTCGAGAGCCTCACCAAGCTCGTCCAGCAGTTCAACGAGGCCGACGTCGACGTCGAGAGCGCCGGTGCGTCTCCGTTTCTCGCGTACCCTCGTCTCCTCGTCCGGCGTCGGCGCTCCGAAGCAGCCGTGGATGTTGCCAGGACAGGCCGCACTCACTGACACGGTGACCGTCCACAGAGGTCGTCATCGCGCCGCCTGCGCTCTACATCCTCCCCCTCAAGGAGCACGCTCGCGCCGGCATCCAGGTCGCCGCCCAGAACGCCCACCAGCTCCCGGCCGGCGCCTACACTGGCGAGATCTCGTGCGTCCCATGCACTTGCTCTTTGTTCAGCGCCGTTGGGCCCGCCCTGACTCGACCCTCAAACCCTCTCTCGCACCTCTGCAGGCTCCAGCAGCTCAAGGACATCGGCCTCAAGTGGGTCATCCTCGGCCACTCGGAGCGCCGCACCATCTTCCACGAGTCGGACGAGCTCATTGCCGAGAAGGTGCGCCCGTGTGCCGCCCACGTCACCGTCGCTGTCCTCCCTTAGACCCTCCTGACCCTCGCACCCGCCCCACAGACCGCCGCTGCGCTCAAGGCCGGCATCCAGGTCATCTTCTGCATCGGCGAGACGCTCGAGGAGCGCGAGGGTGACAAGACTGAGGAGGTCGTCACCCGCCAGACCGAGGCGCTCGCCAAGGTCATCTCGGAGGACGACTGGAAGCACATCGTCGTCGCGTACGAGCCCGGTGCGTCCCCTCTCGCCCTCTCTTGTCACAGCTCCTTCTTTCCCACGCGTTCAAGAGACTGACTACTTGCCTGCCTCGCCGTACAGTCTGGGCCATCGGTACCGGCAAGGTCGCGACCCCCGAGGTCGCCCAGGACACGCACAAGATGATCCGCAGCTTCCTCGCCAAGCGCATCTCGCAGAAGGTCGCCGACGAGACCCGTATCAGTGCGTCGAGCTCCCTCTGTCCGACCAGCAGGCGTGGCGCCGCTCGAACCGTGTACTGACCATCTCCTTCATCGCGCACAGTCTACGGCGGCTCGGTCGCCGGCAAGAACGCCAAGGAGCTCTGTGCGTCTCCTTCCCCTCCCTCTACATGCCTCGTGAACGCCCCACTGACCTCCTGCGCCCTCCACGTATGACAGGCAACCAGCCGGACATGTCCGTCCCGCTCCCACCCCCCTCTCGCCCGCCCGTCGACGTTACTGACCCTCTCCCTTCCACGTCCTCCCTCCCTCACAGCGACGGCGCCCTCGTCGGTGGCGCCTCCCTCAAGCCCGAGTTCGTCGACATTATCCGTGCCGCCGAGGAGAGCTTCAAGGCCAAGAGCAAGCTCTGAACGGCTCGTTCGCCTCTTTCAAGGGTCGGCGAGGCGCAGCAGCTGCAGGGCACGAGGGCCGAGTAGATAGGGTTTTATGCGACTGACAAAAGGAAACCAAAGCAGTTCGTGCCTCTTGCGCTTGAGCGAGCGAGAGGTCGGACAGCGCGAGAGAGCGGCTTGGAGATGGGCGACCTGAGGTGACGGCGAGTAGTCGCGAGGTGCGGCTCGGGCATGCTGCTCAGTGAGCCTGGACACACCAATCTGCCAAGTCTCGGTGCGCAGCGAGAGGACCGAGGGTGCCTGAGCGCCGCCGCGAGTTTGAGAAGGTCAAAGCGCCCGTCGACTTGCACTTCTTCGCCCTCGCCCAGCTCGTACATCGTCGAGCCGTCCGCTCGAGCGAGCCTGCTGCGCATCGTTCTCTATCTCTCGCGCGCGCCGAGCTCCAGCGACTCGTTCAAGCAGCTTCACCTCGACTTTGACTGCGGGCTCGTCCAGTTCACTCTCTCGCGTTCATTCTCGCTCGCGTACGGCTCGCTGCTCCAGCTCGGCAGTCGAGGTCAAGCGTCGTCGATGCACTGCACGTCTCCTCACGCCGCTCGAGCCCCCGCCGCAGCCTCCTCGTGCCCGCAAACTCGCCGCTCGAGCCGCCCTCGAGCTACTTGGCCGCCGTGGCCGCAGCGCCGGCACCCGGCCCGCCCGGCTCGGCGTACGCCGCCGGCTCGTGCGTGTAGCTGACGAGGAACTGCTCGAGGGCGGCTCGGCCGGCTGGGTCCTCGGCAGCACTGCGAGGGGGCGAGCGAGAACGGGAGGAGGGAGAGGCAGGCGAGGGAACGAGGCGAGGAAGAGGAGGAGGGACACAAGAGAGCCAGTCAGTCGGGCTCGATATAGGAGGCAGAAGTACGAGGTGGGAAGGCGGGCGAGGAGGGGGGGGGGGGAAACAGGAAAACGTGCGAGAGGAAGAGTGGAAGGGAAAAGAGGGAACGCGAGGACGCACCCGACCTCGCGCCGCAAGATGGCCCTCAAGAGGACGTCGTTCTCCATCTCGAGCTCGCGCTCGCGCTTGCTGAGCGCCTCGCACTCGTGCGCGAGCTGCTCGTGCTCGCGCAGGACGTAGGCCGCCTTGGCCTTGGCGACGACGTGCGCGACAAACGACGCGGGGAGGTCGACGTGCGTCTGGATCGCGCGCACCTCGTCGGGCGAGTAGGCGATGTCGGCGAGTCCTCCACCCGCATCGCCGCCGCCGCCGCCGCCGCCTGGCGCATAGTCGCCGTCGTCGCCGCCGAGGCCGGACCCGCCCATGCCGCCGTCGTCGGGCCCGCCAAAGGCCGAGTCGTCGCTGCCCTCCCGCGCGCGCTTGCCCCGCCCTTTGCCCTTCCTGCCCGCGCCGGCCCTCACCGCCGACGAAGGCCCGCCGGCGTCGGGCGCGGCCGAACCGGGCGCCCGGCCCGCCGCGACAATCTTGTCGCCGTGCTGGACGCGCATGTGCTTCTGGAGGGCGTCGGTGCGCGTAAAGCTCTTGTCGCACTCGGCCCTCGGGCACGTAAAGGGCTTTTCGCCCGTGTGCGAGCGGAGGTGGGCGACGAGGGCAAACTTGGACCCTTGGTGCTTGCCGCGGCGCGAGCAGCCGGCCCAGTCGCAGACGTACGACAGGGCTTGCGAGCCGGCGCCGCGCTTGGGGATGGGCGGGGCGCCGGGCGCGTCATGCGGGAAGGCGTGCACTGCGGGCGTGAGCGTGTCAGTTGAGGGGTACGAGGGACGGGCGAGCGACGCGAGGGGAGGGCTGATGGGCAGGGAGAGGGAGAGGGACGAAGGCCGAAAGAGAGGGAGGGAATGAGGGAGAGGGAGAGAGGGGGGAAGACGGGCAGGAGGAGGGGGAAGAGGGGAGGGACGCACGGTTGTGGACGTGCTCGACGAGGGGCTCGACCTCCCAGAACTCCATGCCGCACGACCCATTGCCCCACTCGCACCTGGCGGGCTGGAGCTGGCGCGGGTCAAAGCCGTACTTGAGGGCGCGGCGGGTCCATGGGTCGACCTTGTCGCGGGTCGAGGTTGTGGGCGCAGTGGGCGCGAGCTCGTCATCGTCGGATGCGAGTTGGTTCAGGTGGGACGACGAGGCGGACGAGGACGAGGACGAGATGGAGGGGGAGCGCTGCTGGCGCGAGGGGGAGCGCGACATGGACGAGAGGGACGACGAGCGCGAGCGGGTGAGCATGCCCGGGGCGATCGAGGACATGGCTCTGTCGGCGGGTAGCTGCGTGTTGGCCTGGGTCAGTTGTGGCGAGGACGAGGCGCGACGAGATGAAGACGAGCCTGTGGGGAGAGTGACAGGCGACCGAGCGAGGGGCGTTGTGCTTGGCGGTACAGGTGCGTGTGCTGAAGGTGCGAGGGCTGCTGCTGGTGCTGGCGGCGCAGCCTGTGCGTGAGAGCGAGAGAGCGACGACCGAGACTCACGCCGAGAGCCGGACGACGACGGCAACGGGTTCTGCTCTCGACGCTCGCTTGCGGGGCTTGCAGTTGCTCTCGGTTGCTCTCACAAGGGACACTGACGAAGACACATGGTTGCACGAGGGGCTCGGAGGGGTGGTGGCCGCGCAGTGCGAGCTGTTCCTCCTCCTCTGAGTCGCAGTGAGAGAGGGAGAACGCGCTACAGCAACCAGAGGGCGGGCCAGGAAGAGTGTCGTCGTTGCCCTGGTACCTTCTGTGTGTGTGCGAGAGCGAGCCAGCCAAGGTCCCGTCGCTGCTGCACCGCCGTCGAGTCTGGCCTCGCTGCCGTCGAAGCGTGGTCGTCAAGCGAGGTCGGAATTGGCTTAGGGTGGATCGGTCACGGCGAGCGACTGGGCAGTGCGGCAGCTACTGGAGAGACGGGCTCGCTGGCTGCTCTGCTCGAGTAGTAGTGGAAAGAGAAGGAGCTCGTCGCTCGCTCCTTGGTCGTCGTCACTCGTGTCCTCCTCCTCGCCCACCTCGACAACTGCCATGTGTAAGCACCGCACCCTGTCACTCTCCCGCGTACCACCACCTGACCCACGCGCACCCACCTAGCCGACGAAGCCCTGACGGCCGCCCTCGACCTGATCCGCCGACTCCCGCCTCAAGCGGTCGACCAGCACCTCGACCACCTGTGCCAGCTCCAGCCTGACTTGGCAGACGACCTCCTGTCGAGCGTCGACCAGCCCTTGCAGCTCCGCAACGACTCGTCCTCGCGAGACTACCTCGTCCGTCCCCCTTCTCCTCCTCCTCCCCCTCCTCCCCCACCTCGGCCAACTCGTTCCTCCTCTCCTCGCAACTCTGGCTGACTCACCAACTCGACAGGCCTGCGACTACAATCGCGACGGCGACTCGTACCGCTCGCCCTGGACCAACGAGTACGACCCGCCCCTCGCAGACGGCACCACCCCCTCGGGCCCGCTCCGCCAGCTCGAACTCGCCCTCAACGACGCCTTTGACGTGTACCGCGACCTGTACTACGAAGGCGGCGTGTCGAGCGTCTACCTGTGGGACACGGACGAGGGCTTTGCAGGCGTCGTCCTCGTCAAGAAGTGTGCGTCCCTCGTCCGCTCGTCGTCGCACCAGTGGCTGCGCCCGCCCTCGCCGGCTCGACGTCCAGCAGGCGCAGCCTCGAGTTGTCCGACATTGGGCAGGGCCACTGACTCACCCTCGTGCCCGTGCAGCGTCTGATGCCGGCGACTCGACCTCGTCCTGGGACTCGGGTGCGTCCTCCCCTTCCCTCCCCTCTCGAAGCGCCGCTTTCTCGACCAGTGCACCCTCTCCCGCACGCTCACTGATCGTCGTCTCACCTGCCTCGCAGTGCACGTCTTCGAGTCGTCGGTCGGCCTCCCGTCGTCGTCCAGCTCGTCGTCGTCGTCGTCGCGCACCTCGGCCCACTACAAGCTCACGTCGACCGTCATGCTGTACCTCTCCAAGCCGCTTGTCCCGGCCCCAGACGCCGGTGACAGGAAGGAGGAGGGCGAGGTGGCGCTCGGTGGGAGCATGACGAGGCAGGTGCGTCGGCGCGTTCTCTTCTACTTCGCCGCGCTCGAGCCCTCACTGACCGTATTACTTTCCCCCTTTGCACGCCTCGTCTCTTGTCCTTCCCTCTCGCCGCCTCGTACTCGCGCCCGTCCACGCCCCCGTCTCCTGCCGCTCGACCGCCCACCCGTCCGCCCCTCTCGCCGCCGCAGCACGAGGTCTCGGCCGCGCTCGACCCGACATCGAGCGCGACGCTCGCCCAGTCGCACATCGGCAACCTCGGTCGACTCGTCGAGGACATGGAGGCCAAGATGCGCAACCTGCTCGGCGAGGTCTACTTTTCCAGTGCGCCCACCTCTCTCTGGCCTCTCTCGTCCTCGAGCGCCCGTCCGGGCGACCAGAGATTGAACCAGTCGATCTTTCGCGCACACAGAGACGAGCGACATTCTCGGCGCGCTCCGGAGCCAGCAAGGGCTCGACGAGCGCAGCAAGCACCGTGCGCTCCAGGGCGAGCTCGTCGGGTTGCTCAACCGCCGCAAGCCTGTCGCGGCGTAGCCTCTCGATGCCTCTTCCTTCCTTTGTCTGTATTTCCCCATGCCGTGCACAGCAGTCGTCCTACTCAAGAGCAGCGAGAGCGGGTTGCGAGCGTTCGGGCATGGAGAGAGTCGTCAAGGTCGTACGTCGTGGCGAGCGCAAGAGCGCTCAGGACGCCTCTGACGAGCCTCGGCGTGTGGTGTCGGCTCGCTTGCACGAACGGCGACGAGCTGTACCGCCCCGCGAGAGAGCTGCAACGCGCGACGAGCGAGAGACGAAGTTCGAGGCCATGGCTGCGGGCGGCGGATAAGCTTGTTCCGCGCGAGCGATACGGCGCTACCGAATGATCGAGCAAATTCCGAGGCCGGCCGGTGACGCGGGGTCGCTCCGGTTCGCTTGGCCAGATTGGCAAAGTGACGCCCGAGGAGCTTGGAATTCGTCTTTCTCGCCGCCCGCCGTCCAGCTCGAGCTGCGGCCGCTCCTGCTTGTTGTACCACCACGCACACGGTGCCGCCACCTGAGATGCGCACCCAGCCGACGCGCTCCCGACTACTCGCCGCTGTCGCCCTCCTCTCATTCACGGCAACCTCGGTCCTCGGCGCAGCGCTCCCCGGCCACGACGTGCACCAGCTCGCGAGGCGCGCCAACAGTGATCCACGGCTCAGCGGCGTGACGCGCATCGAGGACGGGCAGGTCGAGGGCATCGAGCAGCTCCTGAACCGCACGGCGACCAAGAGGTGCGCCGCCGCTCTCTCTCTCCTCCTCTCCCTAGACGCGCGACCCCGAGTTGACTCTCTCGATTCTGCGTGTACAGCTGGGAGATCGGCACACACCTCGCGGCGCTCCTCGAGCTGTCGTACCCGGCCCTGTCGCCCTTTGCCGACTCGACCTCGTGGGCCCGACCCTCGCCCTCGTCGTCACCTGCGCCGACCGAGATCCTGAGCAACGTCGCCCAGATCCTCGAGAACCAGCCGTCAGGACAACAGCAGCTCGTCAGCGACGGGAGCGCCGCCGACCCGGCCTCGGTCGGGCCTTTTGTGGTCCTGGCCAACTTTACGCTCGACGGCGACGAGCAGATCGGCGGCAGGAGCAAGGCGCAGGTCGACGACGCGGTCCAGCGCCAGGTCGACGTGCTCATGAACGGCACGCCGAGAACGCCCGACGGCGCCATCTCGCACCGCACCGAGGACGTCGAGCTCTGGAGCGACTTTATGTGTGCGTCGAGCGCCGTCCTCTCCCTTCTTTGCTAGCACGACAACTCACTCTCGTCGTACTTTGCAGACATGGTTCCACCTGTACGCCTCCCTCGCCTGTTTGCGCCGGTCGAACGAAACCTGACCTCGCTCGCGCCCCTTTTGCAGTTCTTCGCCTACCTCGGCGCCGTCACGCTCAATTCTACGCTCCTCACCGAGGCCTACACCCAGTGCGCCCTGTACCGCACCCACCTGCGCGACGAGCGCACCAACCTGTGGCGCCACATCGACAACTCGTTCCCGGGCGGCGGCGGGCGCGCCGACCCGGGCCTGTGGGCGACGGGCAACGGCTGGGCGAGCTACGGCCTGTTGCGCGTGCTCGCGACGGTCGTCAACCACCCGGACGACGGCGTCGTGCAGCAGTTTGCGAGCCAGAGCCGCGACTTGGCGGCGTGGGCGGGCGAGATCATCGAGGGCACGTGGGCTCAGCCGAGGGTGCGTCTCCCTCTCTCTTTCCCACCTGCCCCCGTTCAACAGGCCTTGACGATCTCGGTGAGTGCCCGCAGACGAGCCAGGGCCTGCGGCACAACTACCTCAACGAGTCACGGTCGTTCGGCGACGCGAGCGGGACGGCGCTCCTGTCGGCGGCCACGTTCCGCCTGTCGCTCCTGTCGCGGCGGTTCTCGACGGCGGCCGTCAACCTGACGGCGCCGTCGTCGCTCGCGCTCGCGAGCGCCGAAAACTCGTACCGCGCGCTCGTGCCGGCCCGCATCTCGTTGGCAGGCGTCGTGAGCCCCGTCGTCGACCCCATGTCGTTCCGCGAACAGCTCGAGGGCGTCAAGGCCGACGGGTCGGGCAGGTCGAGCCCCGAGGCGGGCGCGTTCGTGCTCCTTCTCGAGGCGGCGAGGCGCGACTGGGTCGACGAGAACGGCGGCACGGAGCCGTCGGCGGTCGATGCGGGCGTCGACGGCATGTGGTCGGCGACGGCGGGTCGGGAGCATCGTCTCGGTGCGGGAGGGGTGGCGGTCGTGCTCGCGGCGGCGCTGGCGCTGGTCGTCGGCGCGTGAGGACGAGGTTCGACCGTCGGCGTTTCCTACTCTCTTTCTCTCCCTTGTTGCTGCACCTCTTTCCCCTGTGTCGTGTCGTCTGTATAGCCTCGATCGATACACGCCTTCTGCTAGACTCGTCGCCTGCAATGTGATCTTGCTCTCTCGCAGTCCGCCTCGTCCCGCTCGGGGCCAAGTCGCCGCCGTGGCTCGTTCTCGCACCTCTCGCACCGCCGACTCGCTCTTTGCCGCCAGAGCAGCAGCGACGATGGATCAGCCGCTGTCATCGACACAGCGAGCCGCGCTCGAGCAGCTGAGCGCCGTCACGGCGCGCTCGCCCGACCTCGGGTCAGATGAGGCGAGGAGCAGCCTCGAACTACTGCGCACGAGCGGCTGGGACGTTCAGGTGCGTCACACTCTCCCTTGCATGTCTCTCAGGCGGTCTGGCGATCCGCCCAGCGATGCGCTGCGAGCGCAAGGAGGGTGCGAGGTGGGGGACTCGTGACGGGGCAGCTCGAGCATCGGCGGTAACGGCGCAGGGCGGCAGGGCGACGAGCTCTCGTGGGCCCGGAGAAGCGTACAGCAGGATTGCGCCAGCTCTGCGCCCGGCCGAGCGAGGACCGGCGAGGGCAGCACCGCCTCGTGGCCACAGCCGCTCTCCCTTTCCACGAGGGAGTTCTGCGGCATCCAGCTCGACTAGAGCGATGCACTGACACTGAGACGCTCGCTCGCAGACCGCCGTCTCGCGCATCTACGACGGCGAGGGCGCTCCCTCGCCCAACTCGTCTTCGGCCGCCGCCGGCGCTCGACACGCCTATCCGCCCACGCCCGACGATGACGAGCCCGACGTCGACGACGCCCTTCTCGCAGGAGCGAGGAACGGTTCGGCGCGCAGAAGAGGCTCGGGCGGGACTGGAGGACTCGGCACCGGCGCGGTCGGGCTCTACTACCTTCGTCAGGTGCGCCCAACGTCCGCTTCATTCCGTGCCGTAATGCCCCCGTCAGCATCTCGGACTGATATTGACGGTCGACTGTGCGCGCAGGCTCTCGCCGTCCCGCTCACCATCCTCTCGTTCCCGGCCGCGCTCATCTACAACCTCGGCGCCCTCCTCCTCGGCCTCGTCGCCCGCCTCTTCCGCCTGCGAGGGCCGTCGACCACTACCCTTCGACCGCGCAACCCCTTCGGACACCGTGCGCCGAGGACAATCCTGTCGCCCGCCGCCGCTGCCGAGCAGTGGGTCAAGTCGATCGAGGAGGCGACGGGCCTCTCGCGCCAGGTCGACGATGCCGGGTCGTCCACGTCGGGCATGCAGGCCACCTCGTCGTCTTCTACCGGCCTGTCGGCCCGCCGTCGAGGGTCCGGCCTCGCCCCGCCCGGGTCGGGTCAGCGCATCCCGCGCTTCCTCGTCGGCTCGTACGACGCCGCGCTGCGTGCCGCGCGCGACGACAAGCGCGTCCTCATGGTCGTCTTGTCGAGTGGCGAGAACGAGCGAGATGCGCGGTTCAAGCGCGACGTCCTGTGCGACGAGGAGGTGAACCGCGTCCTCGAGGAGGAGGACGTTCTCGTATGGGGCGGCGACGTCGGCGAGCGCGAGGCTTTCCAGGGTGCGTCCCCTTTTCTCTGCTCTTCTGTATCTTATCTCTGTCCGACATCAACTCATGCTCGTGCCCCCGCAGTCGGCCAGACGCTGTCCTACATCGCCCTTCCCTTCGTCGCCTTTGTCGCTCTTCAACCCTCGACCCCTCACTCGTCCAACCCCGCCACCGCCTCGACCGCCTCTCCTCGCCTACGCCTCTTGACGCGCCTCGAGCACTCGCCCTCGGCACCCCTTACCGCCGCGTCCCTCCACACGCACCTCGTCACGCTCGTCCTCCCGCGCGCCGAGCCGTACCTCGCCCGCCTGCGGGCCCAGGAGGTTCAACGCGCTGCCGACCGCCTCGCGAGGGACGAGGCCGAGCGCCGCGTCAACGAGCTCGCGCGCCGCGACGAGGAGAAGGTCCTCGCCGTCCGCCGCCGCGAGGAGGAGCGCCGGCGCGCCGAGCGCGAGGCGCACGAGCGAGCTGAGCGGGCGCAGGTCGAGTTGCGCGAGAGGGAGCGTGTCGCCGGGCTCGCTCGGCGGTGGCGAGCGTGGAAGCGCGTCGAGCTGGCGGGACGGCCCGAGGGCGCCGACGTCCGGGTCGCAGTGCGGCTCGGCGACGGGCGCAGGGCGATGCGCGGGTTCAGCGCAGAGGACGGGACGGACGAGGTGTATGGGTGGGTCGAGTGCGAGCTCGGTGCGGCGGACGATGCGGCGCAGGCGAGGGCCGACGGCGAGAGCGAGATCGAGCGGCGTGCGCCGCCCGAGGGCTGGCAGCAGCAGTTCCACTTCCGCCTCGCGACCACCTTTCCTCGCCAGGTCATCGCGCTCGCGCCGCACCTCGCTGCGCCGTCGTCGGCCGCGAGCGCAGCCGCTGCCGCCGCAACTGGCGAGCGCGTCACGGTCGGCGAGGCGTTCCAGGGTCTCGGCAAGACAGTCAACCTCGTCGTCGACGGGCTCGAGGAGCGACGACGGGCGAGCATGAGCAGCAGGGAGGGCAACGACAGCGAGGACGAGGAGGACGAGGAGGAGGTCGAGTCGGATTGAGGTAGACGGGGCTCGCATTGCACAGACTTGACTCGGGCTCGGTACAGAGGAGGAGGCAGAGAGAGAGAGACAGAGAGAGACTACGAGTGCTGCTGGGTTTGCAGACACACGAAGAACGTCGCAGCGCACGTCACCGAGAGGAAGAGGGCGAAAACGAGGTGGGTCTGAGCGGAGTAGCAACTCCACCGGTCGAAGACGATGCAGTCGCTCGCCGCCGCCGGGCTGCGCAACCAGCTCGCACGACGAAATTCGATCTGGTCGCCTGCCGTGGGCGAGGGCGGGTCGTGGACGAGCTGGTCGAGGAAAGCGGGCAGCCTGCGAAGGTTCGCTCGGACCTCGTCAGTCGCCGTTCCGCTTGAGAGCCATCGACTCGCTCGACACCAGCTTACTTCTCTTGGTTCGAAACCTGCCTGCGCACGAGCGCACGAGGCTGCGGTCCTCCGGCGCACACGATGCACCTCGGCGCAACGTGGCAGCGCAAAGCGTGCTCGATCGACTTGCCCTCGGCGCCGGTGAGAGCGACGTGGTGGATGGAGAGGGACGGGTACGCTCGAGCGAGCTCGGCGCGTTGCGTGAAAGGCACGGGCTTGATGGGCGAGAGGCTCGATGCGGCATTCTGGCCTGCGCACTCGGTTGACGAGGATGAGCGTGACCGAGGAAAGAAGGACTTGAACCGTGCCGCGTACCGCCGTGGAAGCATTCGAGCTGCACGCAGCAGACGACAGTTCGTTCAGTGACCTGCTCAAGCCAAGGAGAGAGCGAGAATGGCGCACCACGACGAGCTTGACCTCGTCCTCAGACAGGAGCAGCTCCCTCAACTGGTCGAGCGTCTCGACGTCCGACGGCGATTCTCTCGGGACGAGGAGGGGTAGCGTCGCCTCCATAGTCGTTGCAGTGGGCGAGCGCAAGAGCGAAGGACAGCTTGCGCAGCGCTCAAAGCGTGTGCTCCACGAGGGAGCAAAGGCGAGATACGCGGTCAGGAATAGCTCGGGGCTGATCCGGCAGGAGGCGATGCAGGGCCGACCGCTCCTCTGGACGATCGCTGCGCGTCGGCCGAGTCGAGCCGTGAGAGGAAGCAGGAGCGGGCGACCGAGTCAAAAGCGCTTGAGGAAGGAGCTCGCCAAACCGACCTTCTCAAGTTGCTCTCGACGGACCATTCTCGAGCTCAACACAGACTGACATTGCGTCGCGGTCCTTCTACACAGCAAGGGCTCGTGCACGCTCCACCTTGCGCCTTGCGATCTCGAGCGGGTCGTCCTCGTGCGCTGTTGGCGGCGGTGGCGGCGCTCCCGAAGGACGAGCGGCGATTACTGCGACCGAGAACGCAAAACAGAGTGAGCAGGCGCCCGGCAGGATACGACGAGAGAAGAGGAGTAGGGACGCACACTTTGCCTGCGAGACGAGCTTGTTCGGGAGAGTGTCCAACACGCGCTGGACCTCGTCGAGCGACTTGATGAGCTCGTTCTGCTGCGCCGCCTCGCCGCCGCTCGCCTTCTTGAGCCCGAGGTAGGATCGCTCGACCTCGTTGGCGAGTATGCGGGTCGAATCGGCGAGCTCGGCGGCAGGTGCGGTGCGCGAGAGGCGGGACAGGGAGGACAGGATCGTGTCGAGCGTGCGGGCGGTCTCGGGATGAACCTGCGCGTCGAGACGAGGGTCAGGACAGTAAAAGGAGAAGAATGAAGGTGGGCGCACCTTGCGACGATGGCGGCGCGGTGGGCGCACCGGCTTGACGGCCGGGAGGGCCTCGTTGAGCAGCGTCGGCGAGCGTGACGGGAGAGCGACGTCGACGTCGTCAACAGGCCGGCGGCCATGCTGCAGCGAAGCAGAAGAAGAAGATGCCGAGGGAGGCGGCGAGACTGTCGTGGGAGGCGTCGTGGCGAGAGGAGGTGCGACGACATGGCGAGGAAGAGGAGGAGGGCGAGCTTTGGTCGACACGACGGGCGAGAGGGGGCCTCGAGGCGTGGCGTGCTGTGGGAAACTATCATCATGAGTACGGTGATCGAGATGGAGGGAGAAAGGCGAAAGTCGGGCGCACCTTGCTGGCGAACGGCGACTCGCTCGCGCTCCTCTGGCCGTCCCTCACCTCCTGCAGGCCCCTCACGACCGCCCGCTCGACCAGCTCCAGCTCGTCCCACCTCTCGCCGAGTCTCGTCTCGGGGCGCTCGAGCCGCAGGCGAGCCAAGCACGCGAGCGCGCCCTCGAACGCTTCGATCGCGTTGGCGCGCTCGACTGGCCCGCCGGCGCCGTGCTGCTGGTACAGCCTTGCGAGCTCGTACAGCGCGATGGCCTCGTAAGGCTCGTGGGTGAAGCTCTTGGCGATGGTGAGGAAGACGTGCGACGCCTCGCCCGGGTCGCCGGCGCGAAGGAGGCAGTGGCCGAGCGACAGGTGCCGTTCCGGGCTCTCGGGCCCCTGCTCAACGGCGAAGCGGCTGCGCACAAGAAGAGAATGGTCAGGTCCGTGCGCAGAGGATGCAGAAAGGAGGAGAAAGAGACGACGCACTGCCACGAGAGCGCCTCCTCGATGTCGACGTCCTCGAGCTGCAGGGCGAGCAGCCTCGCCGTCTCGGGCTGCATCTCGTCTGCGGCAGGGAGCACAGTCAGTCTCGCTTCTCCTTAATCGGAAAGATGCGAGAGAGAGAGTCGGGCGCACCGAGCTGTAGCGAGTTTTGAAGGAGCTGGATCGCCTGCGCCCTGACGGTCGAGTTGGTCGAGTCGAGGTACAGCTCGGCGAGCGCGTTCAGGACGGGCACATCTCGCGCCGACAACGGGTCGCCAAGGAGCTTGAACAGGCGAGCGCGCTCCTTCTCGAACTGCGGGCGTAGGGGCAGGGTCAGTGTTTGAGTCGAGAAGGTCCGAGCGAGGAGAGAGGGGGCGACGGACCGCCTGCATCTCGTTCCAGGCTGCCCTCCTCCTGCCGCTCTTGGTCTCGCTGAGGGGGAGGTCCCACTCTGGGTCCCTGCCCGTCTTGCGCAACTCGCGCCGCACCTGCTTCTCCTCCTCGGACAGCTGCGGAACCGGGAACGGGCCTGGCCCGCGACGTGCCGGCTTGACCGGTGGGCGAGCGACGTAGCGCTTGGGCTCGACTGCGGCGCGCGTGCTCGACGACGAGTAGATGGACCGGGATGGGGACGAGCAGGGCGACTCGTGAGGCCGAGGAGGATCGTGCGCCGGGACAAGGTCGGCGTCGCCGTAGCCGCTCGGGCTCTCCTCGACAGGACCGTCGGGTGTGCTCGAGCTCATCTCGTGCCGGTCCTGCATGCGCGGCGACGATGGCGCTGGTGACCGCTCGCTCAAGGTCGTCGGCTCCCCGGGCTCGGTTGACGAGCGCGACGACGCCATCTCGGCGGGGACGAGAGGCGGAGATCTGGGCGACGAGGCCGCCGTGAGCTCGTCGTTGGCGCCCCGTCGGTCGGCGCCGTGCAGGTCGGGCTCGGTCGAGGCGGCGGCCGCTTGCCGAGAGGGAGCTCGCCCGACGGCGACAGGTGCCGCTCGACGTGCGTCGACTGGCGGTTCGACCGCAACGACGACGCCTGGAGCGAACGAGAGGAGCGGGCGACGCTGCGGCGGTGTCGAGGCCGGCGAGCCGACACCGAACAGGGACGACTCCGGCGACAGGGCGTCGCTCGACGGGTTCCACCTCGACAGGGTCGCGCTCGACGGGTACGGCTCGCCATACGGCTCGCCCGTCGCGCCGTAGAAGGGCGAGGGCGAGGACCGTGGCGAGCGCCGACTGCTCGCCGAGTCCTCGAAGGTGCGGCGGCGCGACGACGACGAGGTCGGCTGGCCCGCGGTCGACAGGTACTCGGTCGCCGAGACGTACTCGGACGGCGTACGGGTTGTCGAGCTGGGCGAGACCATGTCGCTCGCGCGACTGGCGGACGGCGGCACCGACGATTTGGTCGGCGAGCGCGAAGTCGAGGCGCGCGAGGCGACTCGGGGCGACAGCGTCGAGCTTGCAGGTTGCTCTGCGTCGACGGCGGCGAGACGCGAACGCGAGTGCGACGTCGCGAGGTCGGTGCGGCTTGAGCGGCTCGAGCGGCCTGCGCGCTCGGTCGACGACGCCTGCGACGGCTCGCTTGTCTCGCCGCTCGCGCCGACTGCGACGCCACTCGCCCACCGCGAGATGTCGTCCCTGCACGACGAAGGGCTGCTCAGCTGCTGCGCCGAGCGAGGCTCGCCGCTGCGCAAGCTCGACGTCCTCGCCGAGTTGCCGAGCGCGGTCGACGGCTCGCCGCGGTGGCGTCGCGCCTCCTGAACGTCGTGCTCGACAAAAGAGCTGATCGGCGTGGGCCGGCGTCCGGAAGGGACGCCGCTCATGCGCGACTGGGCCGCCGCGTCGCTCGACCAGTCGCGCGGCGAGGCTGCGTCTGGCGGCGGGCTCCTCGGCGACGCCCAGGCCGCGCCCGTCGCAGTCGAGTAGGTCGCCGAGCGCGAAGAGGGCGAGTCGAAGCCGTAGTCGAGAGGCCGGAGGAGGGGCGAGTCGACGAGGGCGAACTGGACGAGGGAGCGGTTGTCGAGGGAGGGCGAGCGGACCGAGGAGCGGGCCGAGGATGTCGCACTGACGAGGTAGTGCCCGTCACGTTGTCGAGACGGCGCTCGGGAGGAGGAGGAAGAGAGGAGGAGCGAGGGCGACTCGAGCGTGCGGCGAGGGTCCGTGCGGAGCGACGGCTCGGACGGTTGCGAAACGTGACGGCTCGAGGACGGGGTGTGGCTCGAGTCGCCCACGGCGCTCGCCTCGATCGAAAGCCGGGACGAGCGAGGCGGCCCGTCCATCGCGCTCGACGCCGGCCCGCAGAAGGACGACTCGCGACCTGCGGCATCGTCCTCACTGCTCGGCGGTCTCGCTCGCGACCCGGCGCCGAAGCCCTGCGACGGCGCAGTCGACGCCCTCGACCCACGCGACGCGGCGCCGCTTGACGGGACGGCCGACAGCCGAACCTGCGCCGAGCTCGTCGCCCGGCTCCGGCGAGACGCCGTCGACGCTGCGGACGGCGCTGTCGACTCGTGCGCGGTGCCGAGGAAGAACGAGTCGGCGAGCGACGACGAGTCGACGCCGGGCGCAGCGTGCGCATAGTCGGCGGCCGTGAGCGACGGGTCGTACTCGACGCCGGGAGGGAGGATCGAGGTGCCGCCCGACCGGGGCGAGGCCGTCTCGCCGGGTGCATCGTGGTCGTCGTGGACCGATGACCGTGCGGCGGTAGAACGAGTGCGGCGAGAGGCGAGGGAAGGCTCGGCGAGGGCGGTCGACGGCGGGACGCTCGTCCCGGCACCGAAGAACTGCTCGCTCGCCGGACGGCCCTCGCTCGGCGCAAAGCTCGACAGCTCATCGTGGTCGACCACGGTGCTCGCGGCGAGAGACGCGACGGCGCCGACCACGCGCGGCGACCTGGGCGATCTCGGCCCGCCGCGCTCGACCCTCGCCGATCTCGACACCGCCGAGCACTCGCTGTGCGCGTCGACGTACTCGAATCCCTCGGAAGGGCTCGAGAAGGCGCGGCGGTGCTGCTGCTGCGGCGGCTCGTGCGGGTCGCGGCGCCGGGTGGACGAGCGCGACAGGAAGCTCGCGCCCGAGCGGAACGAGAGCGCCGGCGACGAGTGCGTCGGCTCGGTCTCGGTGACGATAGGGCCTGCGAGGTGGGAGCGTGAGACGCCGGTACGGGTTGGTCGTCGACGACACGTGGGCAGAGATGGACGCACTGAGGACCGCCCTGCCCCAATCTCCTCCTCCAAGCCCGACCGGGTTCCCCCAAAAGTCCCTCAACCCACCATCGTCCGGGATGCGCCTCGTGCGCTCGGCCCACTCGCGCTCCTCGCCGCCGAGCTCGCCGTCGACGAGCGGCGCGCGCTGGGTGCGCAGGCCCGAGCGCGCCGGGAGGTACGACCACCCGAGGGCGCGGAAGAGCGGGGCACGCTCGCGCTCGAGGTGCGGGAACGAGGTGCCGGCCGAGGGTGCGACAGGAGGGGAGGGCATGGGCGTCAGGGTGCGGTCGGCTGGGCGGGGCGAGATGGCGCCGGGAGGAGGCGAGGGTGGCGGCGACACGCTCGTCGAGCGCACAGGGGGGGGGGGTGATGGAGGGCGAGAGCGGTAGGTCGACCGAGGCGAGCCGACGGGCGTCATGATGACGGGCGGCGAGTCGTGCGGCGTGGTCGAGGCGAACGGCGTGCGCGTGCCGCCGGGCGCGCGCAGGTCGAGTCGCTCGTCGGCGGCCCAGGCGTCGCCTCGAGGGTCGCAGGTCGAGGTACGGGTCGAAGGAGGCGAGTTGGGGAGGAACAGGGCGGGTTGAGCGGGCGACGCGACCTTGGACGGAGCGAGGCTCGAGAGGTCGGGCGTGTCGACCGGTGGCGCACGAGGCCAGTCTTCTGCTGCGCCCAACGGGAGCAAGAGTCAGAAGAGGGCGTCGAAGGGTCCAGGGATGAACTGAGGACGCACCTTGAGCCGAACGAAGCTGTGCCGCCCCAACGCCTCGCCGTGGCTCGCCGCCGAGTCGCTCCCACACGCCCTGCATCATCCTCCCGAGGACCTCCTCCTGCTCCGGCCTGAGCGCGTACTTGCTCCTCAGCCTCGCGCGCTCGCGCTCGTGCGCATCGTGCGCCGTCGCGCCGTCATGCGACCGGGGCGGCGCAGGTAGTGGAGGAGGGACGACGGGCGACCTCGGCGGCGGGCCGAACAGGGCCTCGCCTTGTGCCGTGTGGGCATAGTCGGACGCCGCGAACAGGTCGGCTGGACGGGCGAGGGTCGAGTCGCCGGCGGGCGGGCGAGGACGGAGGTGGGTCGAGCGGAGGGAGAAGGGGTTGGAGCGGGTCGAGGCGGACGAGGGGGATGGTGGATCGCTCGTCGGGGTGAGCTGTGCGGGCGAGTCGGTCCAGGGCTGGGTCGCTGGTGGGCTGCGGGCGGCGAGAGGGCGAGGGGCGTGTGCTTGCGGGGTTGCGGCGCGAGGCGGCGACGACATGGCCCGCGCGAGCGCTGTGGCGGCGTGGGCGAGCGAGCGGCGCGGGTCGGGCACGGGCCCAGTTGGTCGCAGCAGCTGGCTGTGCGAGGTGGTCGAGAAAAGAGAGCGAGAGCGAGAGAGCAGAGGCCCCGACTCGGTGCGGGGAACCGCAGCAGGCGCGAGCGCACCCCGCCCGACACCTAGCACCACCGACAAGCACAAGCACAGCAGCGTCAAGCTTCTCTCGAGTTCTGCGTCCTCTCTCGACCAGTTCACCGTCTCGCGCCTCGTCGAAAGCACAAAGGCCAGCCTCTCCCCCACCGCTCCTCGGCCGCCCTTGTCCCACTCTGAGGCAGAAGACGACGTTGCGGCTTGGGTCTTGACGGATGCACGGATCGAAAGAGAGAGGGTGAAAGGGGCTAGGCGAGCCGGGGGAATATACGCGGGCGGCGCGGTCGGGCGAACGAGGGGACGAGGGCGAGGACGGCGGGTCGAAGGAGCGCTCGAGTCGGTGCGTCTAGTAGCCGACGCCGATCAGGTAGTCGGCGAGGTCCTGCGCGTGCGCAGAAGAGTGGGCCAGGTCAGCTCGTCATGGTCGCCGAGCGCGACGAGAGAGGAGCGGGGGCGCACCTCGACAATCTTGGTCGCCTCGCCGGGCACGGTCGGGTGCGAGTACTCGGCGACGAGCACTGCCTGCGTCGTCTTGACGCACACGATGCCGTCGGCCTGCGAGCGCACGGCAACACGGGGCCAGGTAAGCCTCGGCTGGACCGAGGGGAGGGAAGAGTGTGGGACGCACCTGCTTCTTGCCGTACACGCTGCGGTCGTCGGCACGGATGGTGAGGAACTTTGTGCCGGCGGCACGGACGCCGCTCGCCTGGGCCGACGAGGGGTCGTTGAAGGCGGCGACGATGGCGTTCTGCTCGTCGGGCGCGAGCTGCGGGTCACGGGCAGGCAGACAGGTGGGTCAGGACACGAGCGGTCGACCGAGGGTGGTGCGAGGTTGTGGACGCACGTTGTAGCCCTGGGACTGGGCCCACACGCCGCCCTGCTGGCCGAGGATGGCGGCCTTGGTCACCTTGCCCGTGCCGAGGAGGTTCGAGTCGACGTCTGCGTCGGGGCGTGCGCCGGGTCAGTGGGAGTGCTGTACGGGTGCACAGTGACAGACAAGAGTGGGACTCACAGGCTGCACGCGAGAGGACGACGAGGGCGAGGGAGCGATGACGATGAGGGCGACCAGGCGAGGGGACGGGCGGGTGCGAGAGTCAGCTCCGGGGGCGAGGGCATACGGGTAGGCGAGCAAGGGCGCACTCTGCCAGGACATGGTGCTGCTGAGGATGCGAGAGAGGAGGAGGGAGACGACGACCACCTCGAGCCTCTCGCCCGTCGCCCGGCCCGGATCCACGGCCACTCGCTGCTCGCACACTCTCCTGACAAAGCTCTCGAAGGCTCGTCCAGCTCGCACGTCTCTCGCTGTAGCCGGCCTCGCGAGTCGAAGCACACACGCGCACACTTGCATCCCGCACCTCGACACGCTCTCGCTCCCGCCCGTCTCCCTCCTCACACTGGGCTCTGCTTCCGCACACCGCATATCCGATCCGTCACCTGCACGAGGTCGTGTGTGTCAGTCGACAGTCTCGCAAGGCGCAAGCTCGCCTCGGCTCGACGGGGCCACGAGTCGTCGACGTGCACGAGGCGCGAGGTGCAACAGGCCGACGCACCTGCCGCACGCCCGGCGCGCTCAAAAAGTGTCCAATGACGGGCAGTTGTCGCATGAAGGAAAGCACGACCGGGAAGAAGTCGCTGCAGGGAGGACGACGCCGGAAGGGGTGCGAGAGAGTCAGCGCCGCGTCACTCGAGCAGGCCCGCCACGAGAGTGCCACCTGAGTAGGAACGAGAGACGCACCCAAACAGGTTCAGGAACCCGAACATCTCGATCAGGACGCCGAAGAAAGGGTATTTGAGGAACACGAGGAGGATGCCGCCGACGAACGCAAACGCTGCGAGTCGAGGCGGGTTCGATGGCGAGTCAGTCGTCGTCGTCGACCGAGGCTACGACGTGCGCGCCAACACGGCGTGTCTTGTGAGGCGCCGACTGCCCGCGAGTGAGGGGAAGGCCGAAGCCGGACGCACTCCCTCGCAACTTGTTCCGCCTCGCAAAGAAGTACCACGTCTTGCGCGGTCCGATGATGAGCGGCAGCCCGCACACGAACAGGATCTGCGAGGGAAACGAGGGGCTCGTCAGGTCTGTCCTGGCGAGAGGGAGCGAGGAGAGAGAGAGAGGGAGGGAGAGGACGTACATTGCCGAGAGCGATGAGGGCGCCGTCGAAGAGCATGATGACGCCGAGGAGCATGAAGAAGGCGCCGAAGGACGTGAGGCCGACCTGTTGCGCGTGTCGAAAAAGGCATCGAGAGAGAGGGTGAAGCCGTGCCGAGGGGAGGGAGATGGGGAGGAGGAGAGGGAAGCGAAAGTCAGCTCGCCCTCGCTCTGGAGGACCTGACACGCGGGCTGCGGCCATCTCGAGAGGGCTGTGGTCCTTTGGCGCTATCCACCGCCAGACCTGCACGGTAGGGGCGAGGTGGAGCCCTCATCGTGGTTGGGGAGCACTCACGCCGATTTCTGTACGGCGAGGAGTCAGCGAGTGCGTGTGAGAGGGCCGAGAGGACTGTGAGAGCTCACTCTGAGAGTCTGTGAGCCACATGGCGCGTCTCGAGGTGCGTGAAGGCGAGGAGGGCTGCAGCTCTCCACCTCCGCCGCGCTCCCCTCTCGCGCTCTCTCCGCCGCAGACCGTCACATCGCTTCGACTGAGACACGGTCTCGCTGGACAAGGCTGCACAACTCTGCTTATTTTGCAACACACCCGTGCGACACGAGAAAGACCCTGTCGAGCGACTTGCCGTCGAGCCCGACCGCCCTCCACTCGAACACGTCCCGCGCGAGCACCTCGCCGTCCTCGTCGCTGCACCGCCGCGCCCGGTCCACCTCGTACACTCGCACACCCTCGCCTCGTCGACCGGCGGCGAGCGCCCCCTCGACGTCGAGCGCAGAAGGCGGCTCGACCGCGCCCGCCCCCGCGAACGACAGCGCGATCCAGCCGCCGTGGTGCACGCCCGAGCGCGACACGCCCATCCACCCCCACTCCTCGACCCGGTCCGCGTCGAGCGTCCCTCCCGCACCGCCGAGCGTCACGAGGAGCATGCCCTCGTCCTGCACCGCGCCCCGCTCGCGCACCTCGGCCGTGCGCTCCCACCCCTTTTCCCGGGCGGCGGCGGCGGCGAACGCGCCCACTGCGGCCGAGTCGGGCGCAGCGGCGAAAGGCGGGACGAGCGAGTAGGGGAGGAAACCGCGTGTGTAGGCGTGCGAGTGGCCCGACAGGACGATCGAGCACCCGGCGCGGGCGAGGAGGGGAAGCAGCGTCGTGCGGACGTACGCAGACCTGCGGGAGGGGCGAGGCGGCAAGAGTTAGTTCGTGTGCAACAAGGACGGCAGGCTGACCGTCGTGCGAGAGGGTACAGGCGGCTGAGAGGGAAAGAGGGGGACGCACCACTGCGACTCGCCGCCGGTCGTCCACGCCTCGCGGTCCCACCACTCGATCCACGGCGCCGTGTGCACGACGACGACGCGAAAGCTCGTCCTGCTCCACTCGACCCGCCCGACCTCGTGCCGCAACCACCGCTCCTGCTCGTGCTGCTCGGCGACCGTCGGCAGGTTCGAGTCGAGGACGAGGACCCGCATCCTCGCGTGCGGCGACAGCGCGTAGTACGTGCCGCGCCCTTGACCCTCCCAGGGCCCGCCGGTGTAGGCGTTGACGCCCGTCGGGTCCCAGTCGTGGTTGCCCCTCGCGAGCAGGATCGGCAGCTTCTGGCCCATGCGCCACCGGCTCGACAGGCCGCGCGTCAGGACGTCCCACAGGTCCGTCTGCCACTGGACGAGGTCGTGCGGGTTCTGGGTCGCGTCGCCGGCGTGCAGGAGGAGATGCGGGCGGCGCAGAGGGGAAAGTGGGCGAGTCGACGGGGACGAGAAAGCCGAGGGGAGGGCCGAGGGCGCAAAATACCGCGACGGGAGCGAGCCGGCGACCGACAGGAGGCGCAGGAGGACGCGGCGGAAGACGCGCAGGTTGTACTGGTTGTCGGCGACGCACGCAATGTGCAGCGTCGTCGGCTCGCCGTCGGCGGCGACCTCGGGCCCGAGCCACGGGATCGCGTGGCGGACGACGGCGTGCGTCCTCGAGCTCGAGACGAGGGCGAGCTCGTACTGGTACAGCTCGCCGCCGCGCAGACCGCCGACACGCGCCGTGTGGACGATGCGGGCACCCTGCGACTCGGTCTCGGGTACGAGCACGGCGCGCTCGACCTCGAGCGGGCCCCACTCCCACTCGGCGCGGGCTCGTCCAGCTGCCCCTCGTGGCTCGCCGGCGAAGCCCCTGCCCATGCTCGTGCCCGCACTCGGCCGCCGCTTGGTGCCGCGCCTCGCGCTCCACTCGCGCTCGTGGCCGCACCCGGCCGTCTCCCACACGAGGACGGCCTGGTCCTCGCCGCGGGCAAAGACGAGTGGCTCTTTGCGCAATGCGCAGGGCGTCGAGCGTAGGCCGAGAGGCGCGAGGAGCGGAGAGGACCACCGCTCCGAGTGGGCGCGGTCGACGAGCTTGAACCGGACGAGGTACAGGAGCGAGGTCGTCGGTGCCGCGAGTCGATGGACGGCGGTAACGACAAGTAGGACGACGAGGACGACGAGGGCGACTTGGCGAGGTCGTCGTCGGCGCAAGCTGGCGCGAGGAGGCGGTGGTGGTGCGGACGAGGTCGTGGGCAGGGCGCGTTTGTCGAGCGAGGGGAGCGGTGGCGGCGCTGCGGCGAACGATGCTGGACCTGCAATGCTTGCCGAGCTGCCGGTGCGGACCAGAGGCGCTCGCTGGGTGCGAGGGCGCAGGCTCGACAGGGCCGGGCCGAGAGGTCGAGCGGGCGAGGGCGAGCGGGCCATGGCACTGGCTAGGGCAAGGACGAGAGGGTCAGTCGGGGCTCACATGGCCACTGATGCGGCTGAAAAAACAGTCTGGGCGCACCGGTCGCGGTCTTCTACCGTGGCATTCGACACGAAGTGGTCCGGGGCGATGAGGCTGGGGCGGATCAGGCGCCGACGACGCTGCCCAAGCGGGGCCGTGCAGGCGCGCTTCGAGTACAGTCGAGTAGTGCTCGCGGCCGTCCCTCGCAGCCGGAGCGAGAGGGGTGGTGCTGCTCTCGCTCAACCGCGGCCGACCCGGCGACGCGATCTGGACGAGGGACGGCGAGTCGGCTCGACTCTCTCGGGCGGTGCAGTGGGGCTGAGCGTGAGAGTACATTGATGCACAAGAACCTGCACGGGGCCAAACTACAGCCGGACGACCTCCTCTCGCAGACCCGCTCGATCCCCCTTCTCGACCCTCGCATCCTCCGCGTCGACCGCCTCGGCCGACTCAGAGCTTCGACTCGCGTGCCGCCGCCTCGTGCAGATCCATGAGCATGTCGGCCGCCTTGCGGAAGTTCTGCATGTACCGTGCGCCGGGCACGTCGTCGGTGCAGGTGACCGACAGCTGTAGCTCGTCCGAGTCTGCGTCGTGGCGGCGGCAGACGGTCAGGTCGGGCACTCTCTGGACAAGGAAGAGAAAGGTGACGACGCACGGATCATGTAAGGAATGCCGAGCCCGCCCTCGACGACAGGGCCCCAGCCGTACGACGGCGCGTGCCGGATGTAGATCTGGCTCGTCGACATGCGCCACGTCGCGCTCTCCTTGACGAGCGGGTCGGCAAACAGGCCGTCGCCCTCCATGACGGCGGCGCGCTCCTCGGCCGTGATGTCGGGCGACGTCGCGGCGAGCATCTTGAGGCCGAACAGGTGCCGGTCGATGCCCGACCCGGACGACGCGAGCTTCATGTCCGAGCCATGGTGCGCGATGGCGGCGCGGAACAGGGCGACCTTGTCGGCGGCCGACGAGTCCGACGGGTGGTCGACGAGCGCTTGGACGAACGCGAGCGACTCGGGCGTGAGGATCCGGACCGTCTCGGTGCGGCCAAGCTGGAACCGCCGAGTCTGCGCCGCCTCGTACGTCGCACAGGCGCGGTTGAACTGCGGGGCGGGCACGAGTGGGTCAGTCAAAGATGTCCGATAGATGCCGGGGAAGCCAGGGGCGAGGGGCGAGATGAGGGAAAGGGCGCGAGGGAGGGGGGAGGGAAAGCAAGGAGGGCGGTGACGGACCGTGAGGTAGTAGGCGAGCTGAAACAGCATTTGGCACCACCCGTCCGGGCTCGTCTTCATCTTCTTGATGCCCTCCTTGCCGTAGCGCATGTACATCGTGTAGTGCACCCGGTACTTGTCGATGTGGGCGGCAAACTCCTTCTCGGCGTCGGCGATGTGCTGCCGAGAGGTCGAGTCGAGGTCGAACTCGAGCAGCGTCGGCTCGGGTGCAGAGGAAGAGGCCGACGAGGAAGGGAACGCGTCGCCGTGGAGGATGCGCTTGGTGAGGTAGTCGTTCATGCGGGCCGTGGGCGTGCCTGCGAGCGTACGGCGCACGACTCAGTGGGATTCGAGCGACGCGAGAGAAGCGCGAGTGGGAGAGACAGAGACGTACCGTCCATGCCTGAGGAGGAAAGCGACCGTCAGTACGCTGACGGGAGAAAGGCGCGAGGGGAAGACGAGGACGCACAGGAATGCTCGCCGATGCACCCGGCCTCGCCGTTGCGGTACACGACCCACTGCAGCGGCTTGTCCCACCACCGGTTCCCGCCCTCAGCTCCTCCCGTCCACAGCATTTTGCTCCACTCCTCGAGCTCGCGCCTGCCCTTCCACGGGTCGGGCGTCGCCTCGTCGAGCGCGATGACGAACGCCGCGTGGTGGATCTCGCGCAGGGTGGCGACGTTGTTCGGCGACGAGGCGACGAGATGCCCGTGAGCGTCGGCCCAGCGATCGCGGTTGACGGCCGTCAAGATGCCGACAGGTGGTGCCGCCGCCGCCTCGGCGCCGCCTTCTCGGTCGGCGACGTCGATGACCTTCTGGATCGCCGCCTGCAGCGTGTCGACGCCGTACTCGTCGCCGTGAGGGTCCCGGAAGGGCACCTTGAAGAAGCGGTTGCGCTTGACGACGAGGAAGTGCTGCGCCGTCGGGTCGTCCTCGCGCGTCTTGACGGCGTAGTCGGCGGGCGAGGCCGGGATGCGACACGCGTTCCACATCCACTTGTACGACTCGTTGCACAGCTCGCCTTGGGCCGGGTCCTTGGGGTTGTTGAGCTCTGGCTCGAGGAGGCCCTTGACGACGAGGCGGCGAAACTCGAGGGCGGTCTTGGCGATGGTGGCGGCGACGTAGGCGGGGTCGGACGCAGGAGGATCGACGGTGCCGCGGGGAGCTTGCGGGAAGCGGTCGAACTGTGCGCGGCGACGGGACCCGGGTCAGCGTGAACGTTGAGAGGGGCAACAGGGAGGGGGAGGAAGGCCGGAAAGTGGACGCACACCAAAGTAGTACGAGACGTTGACGACGACGCTGTCACGGTAGGCCATGTAGGCCTGCTCGTCCCAGTCCTCGGCGAGCCAGTTGCGCACGCCCGGCTGCTCGCGCTTGCGCTCGAGGAGGCGCTGGAGCTTGTCGCCGACGGCGCCGGGCCGGGCGAACGCCTCGAGCTTGGCGTGCAGTGCTTCGAGCTGGGCGTGGTCGGCGGCGAGAGGCTCGCACGAGCGCGAGAGGCGGGCGAGGGTGTCGGCCAACTTGGGGACGGGGAGCCGGGGCAGCTTGTCGCCCTGGTTGCGGTACAGGGGCGAGTCGACCGGGGTGGCCGAGGGGACGTTCATGCGCCAGTCGGCCCACTTGGGCGTCGTCAAGGGCGGCATGTCGGGGCCGAGCTGGTGAACCGAGGGGGCCAAGGGCGAGGGCGAGGTGAAGAGCGAGCGCGCGGCTGCGACGTGTCGGGTGCGGCGCACAGGTGCCCTTGCGGTGCGCAGGATCGAGCTGCCGAGCATGCAGGCGGCTCTGAGCGAGCGAGCGGGTGGTGGGAGCGAGCCGAGGACGAGGTCCGGCACCCGGCCACTCCCCACACGGCAGCCGAGGTTCGCGAGGGAAATCTCTCTTGCTCGCTCGCACAGGGGGGCTGGGATGGTGCACCAGTGATACAGGGCATCCGACACTAGGTGCGCTACCGCCAGGGGTTGTCGCTGTCGCTCAAGACTGGGTGCCCGTGCGGGAACGGCCCTCGTCTCCGTCGACTCGCCGACTCGTCGACGCCCGCCTGCTTGACGTTGCGCTCCTTCTCCTGCACCGCGATCCGCACCACCTCGTCCTTGTCCTCGCTCCCACCGCTGCTCGACGACGAGCCAGCGTCGGCGTCGTCGCCCGCCCGACCCGGCACGGGCCCGTCCGCCTCCTCGTCGCGCTCGACGACGTCCAGCACGTGCGCCCGCTCGCCCGGGACCGGGCTCTTGACCTGGGCGCCCTCCCTCGCCGTCTCGGGATCGAGGTGCCGCGCCGAGCCCGCCGCCGCGTCGTCGCCGTCGCCGGGCGGGACGTACGCGACGCGGTACACGCGCGTCTTCTTGCCGCCCGGCTCGCCTCGCCGCCGCTGCCGCATCTGCTCCTCCTGCTCGGCCTGGACGTCCTCGACGACGAGGTCGACGGCGTCGGGCGGAAGGCGCCCTTGCTCCTCGTGCTCGCGCCCGGTCCCGCGCGCCGTGTCCTTGTCCGGGCTGCCGAGCGGGAGCGCCGCGTGCAGGACGTGCGACGCGCCCGTCAGGATCGCCGTGCCGACCGGAGCCGGATGGTCGGACGACGTCGCCTGGTCCGAGCGGGCCGACGACTGGTGCCGAGGGCGCGCCGCCGCGTCACGCTGCTTCTGCGTCTCCTCGAGCTCGCCCTGGATCGCGAGCGAGTCGCCTCGGACGAGCGGTTGTCGCTCGGCGAGGGCGCCATACGAGCCGGGGCGGTGCTTGGCGAAAGGGCGCAGCGCCTTGTTGGCCCGAACGCGGACCCGGCCCGACAGGATGGCGTCCTCCTCGTCGCGAACTCGGCGCCGAGCAGCCTCGCGAGAGGCGTCGACGACAGGGTACTTCCAGTCACCTGCGCAAGGGGCGAGCGAGACGGTGTCAGGGTCATGCTCGACCAGGAGAAGGCGAAAGGAGAGAAGGATGGCGGGACGCACCGTACTCGAGCTCGCGCGACTCGCGGTACAGCCGCTCAACCTCCTTCTCCTCCATCTCGTCGACCGGGTGAAACTCGAGGCTCTCGGCGTCGCTGACGTCGCCGTGGTCGAGTTGGTCGTACGCCCTCCCGCCCTCCCACCACCCGAGCCCGAGCGGGCCCGCGCTGTCGTTCATGGCCCGCTTCTTGGCCCGCTCGGCTTCGGCCCACTCGGGATCGACGTGCAGGACCTCGTCGTCGTGCGCCCGGGGCGCGTACCCCTCGCGCGCCTCGACTCGCTCCTCGAGCCGCCGGTGCACCTCGTGGATGGGCCGGCTCGACAGCCCGCCGCCGAGCATGCCGTCGCCGCGCCGGCCGTAGGCGTCCTCCTCGCGACCGGGCTGGTTCAGCCAGTACTTGCGCCCGCCGTCGGCGGTCGAGTAGCGCAGGCCGGCCCGGATGCGACGGTCGCGCACGAGGCCCGACGCGTGCAGCGCGCCCGACGCCGGCTCGTAGGTGCGGTACGAGAAGCCCGAGCCGCGCAGGGTGCCGATTGAGTCGAGGAACAGGTCCTTGTACCTGTGCGGCAAGGGGATGCGAGTCAGTGAGGCTCGGAGAGAAGGAAGGCGAGGAGGAGGGGAGAGCTTGCCCGAACGCGTCCTTGAGGGCGTGCCACATGGGCAGCCGACCGCTGTAGACGTGGTTGTCGTCGACGTAGTCGGTGTACGAGAAGGCGTACAGGTGGAGGAAGGCGAAAAGGGGCATCTCGAAGCAGACAAGCGTGTCCTGGACGGCGAGCGACAGCTGCTCAGTGTCGTAACGGGCTGCGGGTGGGACGACGAGGTCAGTAGACGGTCTGCGAGACGGACGAGGTGGACTAGGACGACGTACAGGAGCGCAACAGCCCCGCTGCGACGCCGATGGACACGGCGAACCCTTGCCAGAACGAGAAGAAGATGATGCCCTTGACCGACAGGAACTGCGTGTACGACAGCGTCAGGCTCGGCTATGGTGAATCAGAGAGAGTGTGTGTGTGGGGACGGACCTTGGGCATGGGCCGGTACGGCTTGAGGTCGCTCGACGTGGCGACCCAGAACATGGCGAGGCAGTACAGCGACAGCGAGACCGACAGGTTGTACACGATCGAGACGTAGGTGTAGCCCGAGTCCTTGGCGAGCGCGCCGTCCTTGTACGTGTCGGTGGCCTTCATGATGACGGTCGCGAGGGCAAGAAGGGGCTTGATCTGGACGTATTCTGTGGGCGCTCGGCGACGGTAAGTCACTGCGACGACCTCTGAGAGCGAGAGGGCGGAGCGAATCGTGACGCACGGAGGATGCCACGCTTGAGGCCGAGGAAAGTGAACGGGTCGCTCGCGTCCATCGGGTGAAGAAAGAGGTTGACAGGCCAGGGATGCGGAACCGGGTCTCGGCCATGAAGAGTGATGATGAGAGAGCGCTCGCCGCCACTGTAAGGAAGATGACGAGAGTTAGGGCCGCTCGATGGGTCGTGCGAGGGCGGGAGGAGGACGCACAGGTACTCGACGAGGAGGCTGAAGAAGCAGCTGCGAGGACAGGAGCGAGTCAGCGGGGCCGCCCTGACGCTCAGGGCGGAGGTACTGGAGACGCACTAGATGACAAAGGCCTGTGGGCAGGGAGGGAAGCACGGAGAGTGAGCTCAGAGGTGCGAGGGAAGGGCGAGGTTGAGGAGGAAGTCGAGGCGCACCTCGTACACGTCGCGGATGGCGTCCAAGAAGAAGGCGAGTTCGAGCGAGTACAGTGAGATGAGGGACGCGACCGAGTATATGGGGACCCTGCGAGCGAGGACGAGGTCAGGCCAGGGAGGAGGAGGGGGAGGAGAGGTGGGAGGTGGGGGAGGCGAGGGACGCACATGACGAGGATGCGGACGACGAGTCGCTGGAGTCGCGGCTTGTGGTAGTGCTTGAGCTGGAGCCAGACGGTGGCGATGCTGAGGATGGTCGACAGGCCGGCCGAGATGGTCGCGGTGATGAGGATGGGGAGCGGGAGGTGGGAGCCAGATCCGACCGGGTTGTCCTGCGCTGCTTGTGCGACGGGCCCTGCCACTGTGACGAGGCTCGTGGCGGCCCATCGTGCTGCCGCCTGGGCGAGCATGTCGCCTCGCAAGAGCGAGGTGGGGGGAGGGATGACGCGGGCTCGAGAGGTGGCGCGAGCGGCTGGGCGGTGCGGACTGGGAGGTGGAGGACCCTGAGCTGTGTTTGAGCTGGTGCAAGCCACACGCAGGCTGGCTGAGCGAGGTGGGCGGCGTGGTCGAGGCCGCATCTGCGCCAGCTCGCTCGCTCGACTCTCGCCCTCTCGGCGACCGCTCTCGCTCTTGGCCGCTGCGCGTTCTGCTCAAACTCGCAGAGTAGAGCCTGCAGGCTCGAGTGCCGGCCTGGCTCCCTGCGCTGGCGCGGTTGCCGCTCCAGCTCGACCGCTCTCGCTCCGCCGGCACCTCGTCCGACGGCGTCCGCCGCACGGCGCGCACTACTTGCGTCCGCCTCTCCTGTCTGCGCCGGCGACGCGTGCACTTCAGCTCTCGGCCCCCTTCCGTGGAGCTGCCGAGGCACGCAATCCGGCCGCTTCGGCACGCGTTTCCTCGACGACTTGCTCTGCGCTCCCGTCCGCGCTCTCGCCTATGCTCCCTTCTCGTCGGTCGGCTCCTGCACCTTGCCAAGATGTTCCGCTGGATCGCCTACTTCTCGACGCAGCCGATCCTGGTCGCCGACGTGGTGAGCCGTCCTGCTCCTTTCCCCTCCTCGCATCTCGCGCGGTCGGCTCACTCAGCCTGTGTCGTTCGTCCCGGCCCAGATCCTTCGCCCAGAGCACGCCATCGTCAAGCAGAGTGAGCCCACTTGCTCTCGCTCGTCAGGCAGGATCGCCCGCTGACCTCGCCGCCCGCCGCAGTCGACGAGCACTACTTGCCGGGCATTCAGGCGCCGGCGTCGGACGGTGGCGGGCCCAACAGCTTCACCAACGTCGACGGCTTCGGCATCGGCTGGTACTCGTCCGTCCCGAACCGCTACCGGATCCACGACACGCCGCGCGAGCAGTACCCGCACCCGCCGCTCGAGCCCGTCGTCTACCGCAACATCCTCCCGCCGATCCACGACCTCAACCTGCACGGCCTCGCCAACGCCATCGAGAGCTCGACCGTCTTTGGGCACGTTCGCGCGGTGCGTCGGCCGTGTCCCTTTCTCCCCCCTAGTCCGAGCCGGCACTGAATCGTCGGTCGCAGACGGTCGGGTCGCCAGTTGCCGTGGCCAACTGCCACCCTTTCCGAGCAGGCCGGCTTCTCTTCATGCACAACGGCGCCGTCGGAGGTGCGTCGACCGTCTCGCCGGATCTGCAGCGCCTCCTTACTGACTCGTCGTCTTCCTCAGGCTTCATCGACGCCCAGGTCCGCATTCTGTCGAGGCTCTCGCACTCGGCGAGGCTCACGATCCAGGGCAACACCGATTCTGAGCATGTCTGTACGTCGACGATCCTCTCTCGCCGAAAGGGAGAATGTCCTGACGCAGAGTCCCTTGCCCGCAGTTGCCCTCTTTTTCACCTACTTGGACCCGCACGGCCCGTGGATGCGCGACTACCGCCCTCAAGAACTCGAGGACGCACTCGAACACACGGTCTCGACGCTCATCACGGCATGCGAGCCCGCACGAGGCTGGCTCGAGGGCGACGGGAGGACCGTGCGCAGCTGGCTCTCGCTCAACGTCGCCGTCACGGACGGCTCGTCCTTCCTCGCCTTGCGCTTCGCCCATCCGCCCGAGCGCGAACCTCCTTCCCTCTACTACTCGAGCGTGGGCGGCAGTGCACTCGACCGCCGATATTGCTCGCACCCGGACGGCGGGCCAGACGTCGGCGACCGGCCCCGCACAGAGCACGAGCCGCACGTCGTCGTCGCGAGCGAGCCAATGACGAGGGCCAAGGGCGACGACTGGACCTTGATGCGGCCCGGCGAGTGCGTCGTTCCGTCCTCTTTCCCCGTTTCCAGCACGACGATCCTGACCTTCCCAAGTTGCCTCGCTCTCCCTCGCCTGCAGCCTTTTGACCACGTCGCACGCCGAGCTCGACCTCGTCTCTCGACATCGCGTACAGCAACACCGGCGCGGCACTGCCATCAACAAGGGCTGGTTCGAGCCACGCGTGCGGCCCCTCTTCCTCGACCACGACATCCTCTCGCCCAAGCACGCGAGCCGGGTTGTCGCACAGCCAGCGCCCGTCTCTTCGAGTCACGGTGCGTCACCTCCCACTCTGCGCCCCCTCGCAACTGTTGCCTGACCCGCCTCTTCCACAGGCACGCCGGCTCTCGTGCGCCGTGCGCGCCGAGACTCGGTCGCTCAAGTCTATGGTGAGCTCTCTCTCTATGCTCTCGCAGTTCGAGTCACTCTTTGACGTCGTCTCGAACGTCACGCAGCCGACCCGAGGCTCGCTCGCTCGCCTCAAGAACACGCACGCCGACGCCGCCCAGTCTCGACCTCGGGCTCGGACCGCTCAACCTTGTCGTAGCTGTTTTTGCAACTCCTCGTTCTCTCTGTGTCGCCTGCGACTCGAGACGTGTAGCTCGACGAGCTCGCTTTGCGAGCTCAGCAGGTACCGAGCGAGCGAGAGCAAGTTCGAGAGCGTTGACGAGGGAAGAGCTCTCTCGAGGCCCACAGCGCGACGACGAACGGGGAGTGAAAGTGCAATACATCTCTCGACGGCTCGACTACTTCTTGCCGCCTCCCGCACGCTTCAGGCCCGTGATACCAAGCTTCGGGCCGCGCTGGTTCGACTTCTTGCCGGCGACCTGCGACAGCGGCACGAAGGCGTACGGCTGCATGCCGTCCTTCTTGACGTCTCCTCCTGCGCGCTGTAGACGATCGAGAGGGCGTCAGGACGAGGGACGACGAGAGAAGGAAGGGAAAAGGAGAGAGAGAGAGAGAGACGTGGACGCACCTTGGCCTTGAACTCCTGGCCGACGCGCTGCACCTCCTTCTTCTGCTTCTTCCTCTTGCCGCCGACCTCGAGCTCCTTGAGGCCCGCCGTGACAGGCACGTCGCGCTCGACGTCGTTGTCGTCGGCGTCGTCAAAGTCGTCGTTGCCGCGCCCACGCTTGCCCTGCGTCTTGTTGAACTTGACGCGGCCTCGTGCGTCGCGCGTGTGCCCGTCCTCGCCGTGCATCGCCTCGACGTAGTCGCCCATGCCGGCGCCACGAGACGGGCCCGACTTGGGCGCGCCCTCGTCGTCGTCGTCCGAGCCCGACTCGTTGAAGCGGAACCGGCCGGCATCGTCCGTCTTGAAGTGCGAGTCGAGCGGCTTGCGCGATGTCGACGGGGCGGCAGGCTTGGCGGCTGCGAGTGAAGGCGGTGAAGATGAGGGTCGGCTCGATTGAGGAAGGCTCGAAAGGAGAAAGAGAGAGAGAGAAAGAGACGCACCAGAGATGCGGCTCATCATGCGGTCGTCGAGCAGGTCGAGCACCTCGTCCTCGCCCTCCTGGATGTAGGCGCCGCCGTCCTCGCGGTCCTTCTTGGCCTTGCGCGCCATCGCCTTGCGGTTCTTGACGCCCGACGGCGCCGTCTTGCCCGGGTCGGCCGGCTCGGCCTCGCCCTCGGACGCCGACACGTCCGACTCGGAGCCGTACAGGACCTCGTCGTACGCCGAGCGCTGCGCGGTCTGCGGGCGAGGCGCGCCCTCGTCGTCCGAGTTGTCGGCGCCGTCGACGTCCATGACGGCGGCGGCGGCGGCCTTCTTCTTCTTGCTGCGCGCGTGCCGCTTGCGGATGTTGCTGACGAGCTTCTTGTCGTCCTCGGGCACGTAGCGCTCGACCTCGCCATAGCCGTACTTGCGGATCATGCGCTCGAGGAGGTGGCGAATCTTGACCTTGAAGTGGTTCGAGTGCTCGTGCGACCAGTTGACCAGCGACGGGACGAGCTGCGGCAGCGACGGCGTGACGAGCGCCGACTTGAGCGTGACGACGGCAATCTTGACGAAGCCGAGGCCGGCCTTGACGATCTCGCGGTTGGCCGACGTGAGGAAGACGACGATGGTGTCGACGAGCTCGGCGAGGTACGAGTCGTCGAGCGAGGCTGCGGACGGCGAGACAGTGTCAGATACTGCTCGGCTGAAGGAGAAACTCGGACAAGGGAGAGGACGAGGGCGACGAGAGGGGAAAGTCGACGAGGGCGGGGAGGAGGAGGGGCGGGACGAGGAGGGCCGGCGAGGACGCACTGTGGAACTCCCAGACGAGGCGACCGAGCGCACCAATCGAGGCCGCGATCATGTGCGGGTTGCTCGCCGCGAGACCGGCGCTGAGCATCGTGACAAACTCCTCCTCGTTGGCGTCGACCTCGTCCTCCATCGAGTCCTCCATGCCCTTGATCAGGTGGCGCTTGATGCGCCCGCCGGCCGCCATCTTTTGGCCCATCGAGACGAGCAGGTCGTAGGCGGCCTCGCGCGTGACGCCGTTCGACTCCTTGGTGCCGAGGACGGCCTCGGGGATGAGCGACGGGACGATGTGGAGCGAGTCGACGGGAATGAGGGGAACGAGCGCGGCGAGCAGCGACACGCGGTCCTGCAGGGTCGAGGCAGAGACGGTCAATAAGACGTGCGACGACGCAGGGCAGAGACAGGGCGGCGACGAGGCGAGGAAGGGAGGAAAGGGGCAGGGGGCAAGGGACGCACCCGCTTGGCGCCGTTCGCCACCTTGGCCGAGCCCTCGACGATGGCGTCGATGACCTCGCCCTCGCGACCCTTGAGCACCTCGCTCTTGGTCTCCTCGCACAGGCGCGCGAGGATGCGGTAGCCCTTCTTCTGGACGGCCGCGTCGGCGCTCGCGACGACCTTGTCGCTCAGGGCAAAGTCGAACAGGACGCGGGCGGTCGGGCCTCGTGCCTGCGGGACGAGCGTGACGAGGATGTCGAGGAGGGCGTGGGCGGCGGGCAGGGTCGGGTCGTCCTTGGACGAGCCGTGCTGGTGCGGCGTGTGCGCCGCGGCATCGAGCGCCTGCGACGCGAGCCCGCTCACGCGCTCGTACGTGCCGGCGAGCTCGTCGGCGGGCAGGATAGCGACCCAGGCCGCGACCGTCTCGAGGACGTAGCCGCCCTCGCCGCGCGCCATCTTGCCGTACACGTTGAACGCGACGCTCAGGACCGTCTGGGCGAGCGACTGGAGGTGCGCGAGCGACGCCTTGCCGTCGGCGGGCGTCAGGCCGAACTGCTCGCGCAGGAGGTCGGGCGGCGACGTCGAGTTGGCGAGGGCGAGCGTGGTCGCGAGAAGGGTCGACAGGGCCTTGAAGATGCTCGGGCGCAGCGACGCCTGCGTGTACACGACGTTGGCGACGAGCGACACAAAGTCGGTGTCGAACGCCGTCACGAGGTCCGTCGGGTACTCGCAGTAGCCCGGGAGGAGGGCCCACACCTGGCCGACGAGCGTCTCCCACACCTTGGCCTCCATGGCGCGCTCGGCCGCCTTGGCCTCCTCGGCTTTGTTGAAGAAGCCGGCCGACAGGGGGACGAACGTGTCGCGGAAGTGCCCGAGGCGCGTGTTGGTGATGGCGGGCTTGAGGAGCGGGAGGAGCCACGCGCGCGCCTTGGCCGGGTTGGCGTTCTCTGCCGAGAGGCCGAGCGGGAGGAACCGGAGGACGGTCGCCGGGCCGAGGACCTTGATGGCGCTGTCGAGGACGGCGTCGGCCTCCTTCTTCCACTCGAACCGCGAGTCCTCGCGCTGCTTGCCGACGAGGACGAGCATCTTGCTGAGGAGGGTCGCGGCGGCGGGCTCGCCGGCCGACGTGCGCAGGCGCAGGCGGAGGAACAGGGCCTTGATGAGCGCGAGGACGTGGGGCTGGGCCTGGGCGGCGAACCGCGCCGAGGTGAGGGCCTTCTCGACGTGCTCGATGACGGCGCGCGTGGTCGGGCCCGAGGCGAGGATGTCGTCGTCGGTGAGGCAGTGGCGGATCATGAGGGCGCAGGCGGTCTCGACGGCGAGGCGGAGCGCCGGAGTAGTGGCGGACGCGAGGAGGGAAAGGGTCGAGGGGAAGAGGGTCGTGAGGCGGTCGAGGGCGGCGGTCGAGTCGGTCCTGCAGGGCGGCGCAAAGTCAGTTCCCGGCCGTGCGGTCGAGACGCGAAGGTTCGAGGACGCACCTCGCGTAGGCCACCATGCCCTCACCGACGCCTTCCACCCATCCCGCGAGGAGCTTCTCGCCCTGCTCGGTGCCCTCGGCGACCTTTGGGCGAGCCTGGACGAGGGCGTCGAGCGTGTCGCGCACGTGGTCGTCGGAGAGGTGCTCGGCGGCGTGTGCGGCCGAGAAGAGGTGCGAGAGGAGGGTGAGGGCGGCGAGGGTGAGGTGCTGAGACGAGAGGGTGAGGGTCGACAGGAGGAGCGGGAGGAGCGTCGGGGTCGACTGTCGGGCGGACACAGGCAAGGTCGTCAGGCTCGTGTCGCGACAGAGAGAGAGAGACGGGGAGTAGATCGGGGCGCACCGAGACGGGCCAGCTCGTGCCGAGGTTGCGGATGAAGGTGAGGAGGGCAATGGCGCGGCTCTCGTCGGCGCCGTGCTCGTCGGGCTTTGCGCCGACGGCCGCCTTGCCGCCGCGCTTTGCGGCGCGCAGGGCGTCGTCGAGCTTGGCGCAGACCCACTGGGCCGTCTCGTCGGCGTACGGGTGGACGGCGGCGGGCGGCGGCGGCGACGCGAGGACGGCGTGGACGGCCTCCTGGGCGCGGCGGCGGACCTTTGGGCGGGCGTCGGCCGAGAGCGAGAGGACGGTGGCGTAGACGGAACGGCAGCCGTCAAGGTCCTTCTCGAGGGCCTGTGCGGGCGCTGCGACGAGGAGCGACTGGGCGAGGGCGACGAGGCTCTTGAGGGCCGGGGCGTGCTGGGCGAACGAGGCGAGGAGGGGCTGGAGGGTCTTGAGGGTGTGGTGCTTGGCGCGCAGAGCTTGTGGGTCGAGGTGCGGCGCGAGGAGGCCGAGGAGGTAGAGGGTGGCCTCGAGGAGCTGGCGCTTGTCGGACGCGGGCTTGGCGGCTTGCGGGTCGGCGGCGAGCTGGTCGAGGGTCGACAGGAGGGCGACCCAGTAGGCCTCTGGGGCGCGCTGGTCCGGGCCGAGCGTGTCGTCGACGGCGAGGAGGAGGTGGGCCGGGCGCTGGATGGCGGGGACCTGCGAGCCGGACTGGGCGCGGATCTTGGCCCACTGCGCGTCGAGGGTGGTGCTCATGGTCGCTGTGCGAGTGCTGGGTGCCAGTCCCTGGTGAGCGGGAGCGAGCTGTTGAGCCAAGCTGGTTCCGACTGTCGCTCGAGCTCGAAGCCGATTCGATGCACCGCCCCCGCGCGCCGTCGCTGCTACTTGCCCTATCGGGAGAGCAGCTCGACACTAACTAGTATTCGCCTCGGTAAGCGCTGATTACCTTTCGCCGAAGCGGCGCGTCCTCATCGCCTCACCTCCCTCCTTCTCCACCTCCTTTGCTCGACATCCACCTCGAGATGGCCTCGCCGCAGACTGGCACTTCCCTCGTCGAGCGCACGCCCGCTCTCGAGCACGACCCCTCGCTCGCGCGCGAGGACGTCGCTGGCCAACCCACCGGCCCTTCGTCCCCGTACCCGGTCTACCTTGACGGCTGGGTCACCCGAGGCTTCGGTCGCGGCTCCAAGGACCTCGGCTGCCCCACCGGTGAGCTCCCTCTTTCGCCCAGGCAGCGCGCGGCGGCGAGCACACGAGGCTGACTCGTCCCACCCTCTCCGCTCGCCTGCAGCCAACCTCCCCGACTCGAGCATCGAGCCGTACGCCTCGACCCTCTCGACCGGCGTCTACTTCGGCTGGGCTCGCGTCCTCGACCCGGCGAGTGCGCCTCGCGACTCGACCACGACCGCCTTCGCCGCTGCAGCCGATTCGCGGCGAGGCGACCACGACGAGGTGCACCCGATGGTCATGAGCGTCGGCTGGAACCCGTACTACAAGAACAGCACGCGCACGGCGGTCCGTCCCCTCTCTCTCTCTCTCTGGCCTGTTGCCGCCCACCTCGACCGCGAGAGCTGACCACCCTCCCTCTCGCCCTCGCGCAGGAGGTCCACATCTTGCACGACTACCCCGCCGACTTTTACGGCAAGGAGCTGCGCGTCGTCATGCTCGGCTTCATCCGCCCCGAGTACAACTACTCGAGCCTCGGTGCGTCCTCGTGTCCGCAATCTCGAGCGAGCTTGTCCTCGTGCGGCAAGCGCAGTGCCCGTCGCCCAGATTGCGCTCGGCGAGGTTTGTCGAACACGTGTCTGACGCCTTTACGAGCTGCGACAGACGCCCTCATCAAGGACATCAACCACGACAAGCTCGTCGCCCTCAACTCGGTCGCGCCCTCTCGCGCGCCCTACGCCTCGTACCGCGACGACGCCTTCTTCTTCGCGCCTTCGACCCTCCGTCCGCCAACCGACGACCCGACCAAGCCGAGGGTCAAGCCGAGCGAGCAGGAGGCGGCAGCAGAGACGGCCTGAGCGCGGACGAGCGAGTCGCCGAGCCGGTCGCGCAGTAGACGCAGCAGCTAGAAGTGCAGTGCATGTTGTACGCCGTCCCTTTCGTGCTGCACGACGCGCAAGCTTGTCGACCTCGAAGCTCTCGAGCGGGCGCGACATTGGCGAAACTGGCTCGTGCAGCGGCTCATCGGCTTCTCGTTCTCGATCTCTCCTCAGACGAGGGCACGAGGGAGGGATGGAGACGAACAAGGTACTCGTTACGGCAGGGAATAGGTACTGAGAGAAAGGAGGACTAGGACAAAGAGAGAGAGAGAGAGAGTAGAGAGAGAGAGCGAGAAAGAGAGACAGAGAGTGGGTCGGTCAGGAGGGCGTCGAGGGAAGCTGAGGAGGGCTCGTCGACGCAGATTGACCAAGAGGGTGAGGCGATCAGATCTTCTGGCCGAAGAACCAGCTGTCGACTGGGCCAAGGTGGGTCAGTGCGCGGCCGAGGAGAGGGGACCCAGGTCGAAAAGGAGCTCACGGTCTTGGCCGTCGCTGCCCTGGCTGATGTCGACGCTGCCGATGAGCTCCCAGCCGAGGCCGTCGAGCGCGGCGAGAATGTTGCACGCGAGGATGCGGGCGTGGTTGACCTCGGAGCCGGACGACGTATGCCACGGGTACCCGCGCAGCTTGATCTGCCAGGCGCCCGGCTCCTTGAGCGCCTGCGACTGGATGCCTGCGGGCCATGACTGTGGCGGTGACGAGGCGGATCAGGGCCTGCGCGTGCGAGAGAGGATAGGCGAGGAGGAAGAAGACGAACCGAAACGGCGGCGAGAAAGGCGTTCAGGACCTCGTCGTTCGGCGGGTCGATGATGCGCGCCTTGTCGCCCTGGTTGAAGCTGACCGAGAAGACCTGGCGAGCGAGTGGCGGGCCCGAGCGGAACAGGAGCGTGTCCTTGTCGTAGCCTTTGCGCGACAGGTCCACCTCCGAGGCGAGGTGCCAGCCTTGGCTCGACAGGCATGCGAGGAGGTTGCTCACGAGGCGTCGAGACGGGACAGCTTGTTCGGCTTGGCCATACCCTGTTGCAGAAAGAGAGGGATGGCGTGAGCGAGGGCTCGTACGTGCGAGCGCATGAGAAGGAGAGGGGGCGGGGGAGGGACGCACACGGGTTGCCCCTCAGCTTGAACTCGTACGAGACGGGGTCAGACACGCCGGCATGCTGGATGCCAAGGGCCCACGAGCGGGTGATGGCGTCGTGCACAGGCTGAATGACGGTCGGCGGGAAGGCGATGAGGCGCACGCGGTCGCTGCGAGCGAGGTGGAGGGCGGCGTAGGTCGGGGCGACCGGGCGAGTCGGGTTGGCGTACGAGCTCGTCGGGTGCGGGTGCGGGTACTCGGGCGGCGGCAGGTGCTGCTGGGGCGGGATCTGCTGGCTGGACGAGGACGTTGGCGCCTTGGCATCGGTCGCGAAGTGGCGGAAGATGGACATGCCGGCGGTCTCGATGTAGAGCGGCGGGTCTGCGCGCGGTTCGAGACGAGGGTCAGTTGTGCGGACCTGGAGCGGACTCGAGGTTGGACGAGCGGGGCGGGGAGGAGGGACTGCGAGCCGGCTGCGACGAGGCCGTTCGGGTCGAACCGAGTCGAGTGACGAGCTCACTAGTGAGGGTGTGGTGCACCGTCTCGGCGTCAGAGCTGAGTTGTGGGCGAGCGAGACGAGCCAACACAGGTTGCCCCGTCGGTCGAGTCGCCCTTGGCACCGCCTCACTCGCCCCACCTCGCTGTGCGGCCTCTGCTGCGAGCTCAACAGCCGCACACAATGCTCAACTCGGCACCCACCGCCGTGCGCACCTCGCTGCGCTCCCTCCGCCGCCGTGCCGAGCCGTCCCCCGCCTCATCGTGGCTCCGCACTTCAACCCTCCCACGACCGCTCCCACCGACACCGGCAGCCTGCTGCGCACCGCCATCCACCTCGTTCACCCGTATACCAGCCTCCACCCGTCCAGCCTCGACGGCAGCGCGACCTCGTCTCGAGGACGACCCCCCATTGTCCTCCTCGACCCTCCCCTCCCCCTCGACAACCGCCCCACCAACCCCTCTCGCTCGGTCCGACATCAAGCTCCGCCCTTATCAAGTCGACTGCATCCGCGCCGTCCTCGACGAGCTCGAGCGCGGCGAGTTTTCCCGGCTCGGAGTGAGCGCTCCCACCGGTCCGCCCCACTTTCCCTCGTCCTGGCAGCCGCAGCGCAGCGGCACGTCGACGAGACTGACCCTCGTACTTGTCACAGGCTCGGGCAAGACCGCCATCTTCACCTCGCTCATCTCGCACCTCCCCGCCCTCGTCCACCCCGTCTCGGGCGAGGTCGCGACCCGGGTCCTCGTCATCGTCAACTCGATCCAGCTCGCGACCCAGACGGCCGACGCCGTCAAGCGCGCTTTCCCGCAACTCGTCGTCGAGGTCGAGCAGGGCCGCAGCCTCGCGACCGGCGCCGCCGACGTCACCGTCTGCACGTTCCAGACGCTCGCCCGCTCGTCCTTTGCCCGCCTCGAAAAGTTCCTCCCCGAGCACTACAAGGCCGTCATCGTCGACGAGGCGCACCACGCCGCAGCCCCGTCGTACCTCGAGATCCTCGCCCGCTTCGACTCGCACGTCGAGCACGCGCTCGGCGCCGCCGGCGTCGACACGCGCCGCGTCGAGGCCAACGAGATCGCGCCCGCCGTCGACCAAGCCGAGCACGTGACGTCGACGGCCTACGAGAACGACGTCGAGGGCGAGTTCTTGCCACCGTCGGACGAGGGCGGCGCGTCGGCCGACGGCGACGGCGTGCCCGACTCGCACCTGCCGAGCCCGTCGCCGCTCCTCGCCAACCTCGACGAGCTCGGCCGCATGCGTGTCCCTCTCCTCGCCTTTACGGCGACCTGGGGCCGCGCAGACGGCCTCGCCCTCGGCAAGATCTTTGAGAAGATCGTCTGGCACGGCGAGTGGCTCGACATGATCCGCGGCAACTGGTGCGTCCCCCTCGTTCTCCTTGTCGTACCCCCTCTCGTCGAGAGTCGACACTGACCCGGCTCTCTGTGTCCCGCAGGTTGTCGCAGCTCGAGTTCACGACCGTCCACCTCGGCTCGGCCGTCGACATGGCCCAGATCGACGTCTCGAGCTCGACGGGCGACTTTACCGCCGCAAGTCTCGCTCGCTCGATCGACAAGGACGCCGTCAACAAGCTCGCCGTCAACGCCTGGCTCGAAAATGCCCGAGGTGCGTCGTCATCCTCGTTCAGCGCGGGCCC